TTCGTACACATCAGTGGGGCGGGGGAGGGGGAACCCAGCAGACGGGTGGCCCAAGCTAGGAACACCAAGGAAGGGTAATCAAGCAGATGAATGGTCCGCCTCCCCAGCCATCTGGGAAAAGATTGAAGAACCAGGGAGTTCAGCTCACTTCCCTTAGGTGGGTGCAAATCAGAAACCCGCCAGGGCCAAGTGAGGGCAGAGGGACAATTGCATATGGCTGGCAAGTTTACACATGGGACCAACCCGGAAAATGACTCTACAGACCACAGGGCTGAGCATGTGCACATCCGCTCTCAGGAATGTAACCCACTGCACATGTTTATCGGGAAGTATGCACAGAACATAAAAGCTTTGTTATTAAAACAGAAAGGCCGGGCGTAGTGACTCACGCCTATCATCCCAGCACTTTGGGAGGCAGAGGGGAGAGGATTGCCTGAGCTCAGGGGTTTGGGACCAGCCTGGGCAACTTGGCGAGACCTCGTCTCTACAAGAAATCAAAAAATTAGATGGGTATGGTGGCGTACGCCTATATTCCAGCTACTTGGAAGGCTGAGATGGAAGAATCGCCAGAGTCCAGCAGGCTGAGACTGGGGTAGCTGTGAGTCTGCCACTGCACTCCAGCCTGGGCGACGGAGTGAGACTCCAACTCAAAAAAAAAAAAAAAAAAGGCAGAGGGCGGGGAGGAAGGAGAGATGAATATTAAATGTCCAACGAGAGAAAAGGTCTAAATAAACTGACGCCTAACATATAGCAGTAAAATGAATGACAACCATGGAGAGGATAAAACCAAGTAACTGAAGACTATATGAGCTACATATGGTACTTAATTTTTAAAATAACTCTAGGAAATGTCAAAACTCCATATATTTAAGGAGAAAGGTTTGAGGAGTTTAGACGTCTGTAGACATACATGAAATCATTATCACACTCAAAATAATATTTCTATCACTCCCCAAAAGTTTTCTCATACCCTTTTTTGTTTGTTGGTTGGTTTGGTTTGGTGTTTTGAGTCAAGGTCTCACTCTGTCTTCCAGACTGGACTGCAGTGGCACTATCACAACTCACTGTAATCTCGACCCTCTGGGCTCAGACAATCCTCCCTCCTTAGCCTCTCTGAGTAACTGGAATGATGGGCTCCGCGCATCACCGCTTTTGGCTAATATATGTAGATTTTAATTTTGTAGAGATGAGGTCTCCCTATGTTACCCAAGCTGGTCTGGAACTCCTGGGCTCCAACAGTCCTCCCACCTTGGCCTTCCAAAGTGCTAGGATTTAGGCATGAGCCACCATGCCCTGCTCTTTCATAACGCTTTTTCATCCATTTCTCCCTCCACCCTCATCTTTGACCACTAAACTTCTTTCTGCCACGGTACAATTGCATTTCTAGGATTTTACATAAATTGAATCACATACTATGCACTCTATTTTGACTGGCTTCTTTCACTCAGCACAATGATTTCTGAGATATGTTCGTGCTATGGCATGTATCTGTAATTCATTTCTCTTCACTGCTGAGTCACACTTAATTTTATGAATATAGTACAATTTCTGTATCCATTCACTTTTTGATGGATTTGGATTGTTCCCAGCTTTGGGCTATTAAAAACAAGTCTGTTTTGACAATGCACAAAGTTTCATGTGGATACATGCTTTATTTTTCTCCATAAATTCTGAGGGCTAGAATGGCTGGATCAGAGGATAGATGTGTGCGTTTTAATATTTTTGGGAAACTGCCGCATTGTTATCTGATAAAGTCACACTCCACACCCATTTACATGTCCACTCGGAGTGTGGGAAAGTGTCAGCATCTCCATGTTTTCATTAACCCTTAGTATGGTCAGTCTTTTTAAATTTTAGGCTTTCTAATGGCTTGTAGTAGTTTCTCATTGAGGTATTAATTTGCATTTCATTGAGGATATATGATGTAGGACATCTTTGCCTGCTTTTATATATTACTTGGTAAAGTGTCTACTCAAATATTTTGACCGTTTGTAATGGATTATTTTTCTCTTATTTTTGATTTATGAGTTCTTTATATATTATAGATACAAGTACTTTGTCTGATATGTGTGTTACCAGTATTTTCTCCTGATCTAGGATTTACATTTTTGTTTTCTTAACGGTGTCTTTCAAACTTCTGATAACATTTAATTTATCAAGTTTTTATTGTCATACTCATATTTTTGTGGTCTATCAAACACATATATACTTACCCCAAGTTTGCAAATATTTTGTTTTCTTCTGAAAATGTTGTAATTTTAAGTTTTATCTTTGGGTCTCTGATCATTTCTATTTAGTTTTTGTGTATGGCATGAAGTCAAGCCCGTGTGTGTTTATATTTTTTCCACGTGGATATTCTGTTGATCCAGCAATGTTTTCTTGGAAAGACTTTTCTTTCCCCCTTGAAATACCTTGGAACACTTTTCAAGTTAATTGGCCGTATATGTGTTGGCCTGGTTCCTGATTCTCTCCTCTGCTCTCTGGGTCTGTCTGTCTATATTTTTGCCAATCCATAGCTTTATAACATGCATAAGTCAGGTTGGGTGAGTCCTCTTTTTAAAAATTGCTTTGGCTATCCTAGGTCCTTTGCATAGATGTGAATGTTAGAATCTGTGTGTCGATTTCTAAAAAAAAAAAAAGAGAGTCTGCTATGATTTTGGCTGGGACTGCGTTGAATCATTGATAAATTGGGGGAAAGTTGCCATCTTGGCAATATTGAACCTTTTGCTCTATGAGCCTAATATAACTTGCCATTTATTTCATTTTTTAAAAATTGCCACCACCACCCCCAGTGATGCTTTGCAGTTTTTGATGTAGAGATCTTGAATGTCGTTAGTTAGATTGTTTTCCCCCCAAGGATTTTGTATTTTGGCTGCTATTATTCTATTGTTAGCTGCTATTATATAATATGATAATTGTTTTATATTAACGTCGTATTTTGTGACCTTGTTAAATTCAATTATTAGTTCTAGCAGTTGTGTTGTAGACTTCCTGCAATCAAAATACCAAAATAGGGACCAGCTCTTTTCTTCTTCCTGGTGTTGTTGCCTCTTGTTTTCTTACTGCACTGGCTAATGCCTTTAGTGCAGTGATGAAGAGACTTGAGACATCCTTGCCTTAATTCTGATTGTAAAGGGAAGAAGATGCATTGGTGTATGATGTTAGCTGTAGCTTTCCCACAGATGCCCCCGCCGAGAATGTTACCAGATTTTTCTAGTCTTCTGAGAGTTTTCATCATAAATATATATATCTTTATAGCCTTTTACCGTGGCAAATTGCAGATTGATTTTCTTAACTGTAAACCAACCTTACCTTCCTGGAATAAGCCCTACTTGGTTATGATGTAATATCTTTCTTCTTATTTTTTTTTTTTACATCATTGAATTTGATTTGCTAAAATCTGAGGACTCTTTGCAGCTCTATTCATGAAGATATTGACCTGCAATATTTTGGTGGGGGGGTGGATTTCTTGATGAGGTTTCGTTGTTAATGTTACGCTGAACTGATAAAAATACTTTCCCTTCTCCTCCATTTTCTGAAGAAATTTGTGGAAGATGAGTGTCACTTTGTTTTTGATGGTGTAAAGAATCTGCCAGTAAAACCACTGAGCCTGGGAGTTTCTTTTGGAGAAGTTTTCAACAGCGAATTCAATTTCTTCAACAGAGTATTATTCAGATTTTCTGTTTAAATAGTGCCATCTTCGGTAAATTGTATTTCTCAAGATATTGACCCATTTTATATAACTGATCAGATTTGTTGGCACTAGGTTGTTCACAGTATTCTCTTATTAACCCTTTATTGTCTACAGCAGGGGCCCCCAACCCCTGGACCCTGGAAAATCAAGACTAACGCTCACCGAATGCCTATTGCATGCCAACCACTCTGCTCAGTCCGTCGGGTCACAACAGCCCTCTGAGCTGGGCCTCCCCAGACCCCACAACCTCGGCCCATAGGTTCACAGGCTTGGCCACCAGCTCCACAGGGCAGAAGTGGTATGAAGGGAGGGCGGGGGGAGCAGAGGGCAAGCTTCAGACCCCTGTGCTCAGCACCAGCTCCCCGCACCGCCTGTTTCTTCCTTCCCCCATGTTCTATTCCTAACCTATAAGATGATGCTGACTCTGTCTCCCCTCCGGCATCCTCCCTCATCCCTGTGTGTGGCCCCCGCCCGTCCCCTCCTCTGCCCCCAGCTTGCTCCCAGCAACACATTCTACATCCAGAACTGACTTGTGCCCTCTCCTCCAGGGCACTGCCGAGCTTGAGGGGCATAAAACACATTCTCCTTGGTTTTCCAGCCTGCCGTTCCTGCTGTCTCAGCCCCCGGCCTGCACCCCACCAAGCTCTCCACCACCCCCATCCCTCCAACACCTGTGACCTCTCCCATCCCACCCCCGGGCCCTTGTGCGCCTGTTTCTCAGGGCAGCTGCGGGCACTTTTTTTTAATCCATCATCCATTCTCCACCTGGAAGGTCTTTCTTCCTTCAAGGTCCAAACGTCCCCGCTCAGCTGAGAATCGCCCCAGGCTTTCGTGGCCGTCCGTATCTCCTCTACACCCCCAGGACTTTGTTCACATTTTTCATTGCGCTGTCCCTATTGAGGGATGTCCAGCTGTTGAAGTGTCTCATAAGTCTGCCCCGCTGGATAACAAGCCCTGAGAGGATAAAGATCACATCGTGTTTGTCTCTGGCTTGCCCGCCCTTCAGAGAGAGCCAGGCACAAGGTCGGCCCTCAGTGTTTACTGAACGTGCAAATGCCCCCAGCCTTTGCAGCAGGTTGACAGCTGAACCCGGAGGGAGGGTGCCAGATTCTAGTTCAAGCTTGCCTCCAGCGGGATTACCAACAGGGACAGCACAGATCTGGCCTCCAGACCCCCTCATGGAGGGGGTCCCTCATTGGGTCCTCCTGGGCTCACAGCCAATGATGAGAGGGCTTGGTGGCTCACTCCTAAAAGTATCCCTTTCTTCCCCAGGAGGAAAGACCCCAAGGAGCCCTCTAGAGGAGTCATGGCGCATCACCAGGAGCCTCTCACGGAGAGCCCCATCATCAGGTTCAAGGACCAGGACTTCGAGGCCCTGCGGCATCACTACCTCAGCCAGGGCCAGCTGTTCAGGGATGAGACATTCCCTGCCGTGGATGCCTCCATAGGCCAGAAGCTGCTCCAGGAAAAGCAACTCTCCAACCTGAAGTGGAAGCGGCCACGGGTGAGTGAACCTCGGGAACACACGCACCCCAGAGCCCTGGGGGCTGCCTGCCGGGGGACCTTCCACTGCAAGCCGGGTGGGCTGAAGCCAGACTGGACGGAGCATGACATCTGGTCCCTCTGCTGCACTGTTGTGCCCACTCAGTGAGGTGGGAGACCCTGTGGCAGGAACCAGGAGCCTGGACCCCTGGGTTCTGACCCGGTTCTGACACTGAGCACATTGCTGAATTAAATTGCATCAGTGTTCTCATCTGAAAAATGGGAAACCATGGGATGAAGAGTGGAGTCATGATGGCCCGGTGTGGAGGTTCATGCTGGTTATCTCTAAACATTGGGAGGCTGAGGTGGGAGGATCACTTGAGCCCAGGAGCTTGAGACCAGCCTGGGCAACATAGCGAGACCCCCATCTCTACAAAAAAAAAATCAAAAAAATTAACAGGGTATGGTGATGCTCACCTGCAGTGCCAGCTGCTCTGGAGGCTGAAGCAGAAGGATCACCTGAACCCAGGAGGCCGAGGCTGCAGTGTGTCATGATCGTGTCACTGCACTCCAGCCTGGGCAGCAGAGTGAGACCCTGACTCAAAAAAACAACACCAAAAAAACCCCAAAACCTTATAGCTTGGTCTTGAAGTCTCTTCTACCTCCACAAGTGACCCATTTGCTGTCACCCTTCCTGCTCTCAGGTATCAGTATCTTTATATTCTTTTCTCCTTCCCTGTAGAATATGCTGGAAGGAAGACAGCATGTGAGTCATAGACACTCTAGGATGAGTCAAAACAGGTGCCTTGCCTCCCTCTTTTATATCCATGTTCTCGATCTTGCAGAGGCTTGACTGCCTGTGAAAGAATGTCCGACATCAGCTATAAAGTTAGGGAAACATTGCAGGGCAGCCAGCCAACCACCCCGACTCCCCCGACCTGCAGGCAGCCACGAACCCCACCTTGGAGCCGGGTGAGCCCTGCTAGTTTTTCTTGAACTACCTCCATGTCAGGGCATGAAGGCCCATGGGAGCTTTCTCTGTTGACGCAGTATCCTCATCATGGCATTGGACCTGCGGGGGACGCAGAGGACCTGGGTGAGGGCCATTGCAGGCAGAACCCCAAGAAAGAAAGAGCATGTCTGGTAAACCATCCTTGCACTCTCAGCTGCCATACTGAGTGCCGATTTCATGCCAAGCACGCCCACGAATGCCTCCACAAACCAGGGGTATTTTCTGAGGATGCCTGTGAGGAGGTGACATGGTCCGGATGGCGTCCCTCCCAATCGCATGCTGAAATGTGAATCCGATGTGGAAGGCGGGACCGGGTGGGAAGTGATGGGTAGTGGGGGTGGGTTTCTCGTCGATGGCTTGGTGCTCTTCCCATGGTGAAGAGTGAGCTCTTGCTCTATTAGCTCACGTGACAACTGGATGTTTATTTTTTATATTTATTTTTTTAATTGGAGTCTCACTCTGTCACCCAGGCTGGAGTGCAGTGACACGTTCTCGACCACCTCAGCCTCAACCTGCTGGGCTCAGGTGATCCTTCTGCCTCAGCCTTCCAAGTAGCTGGAATCACAGGCATGCACCACCACATCCGGCTAATTTTCTGACTTATAGAGACGAGGTATCAACAAGTTGCCCAGGCTGGTCTCGAACCACTGGGCTCAGGCAATCCTTTCGCCTTGGCCTCCCAAAGTGCTGGGATTTAGGTGTGAGCCACTGAGTGCGGCTAAAATATTATCCCACTTTTTTTTTTTTTGAGTGGAAGTCTCACTCTGTCGCCCAGGTTGAAATGTGGTGGCACACTCACGGCCACCATAACCTTGACCTTCTGGGCTCAGGTGATCCTTCCAAGTAGCTGGAACCACAGGCATGTGCCATCACAAGCTAATTTTTTGATTTATTGTAGAGACGAGGTCTTGCCATGTTGCCCAGGCTGGTCTCGAATGCTGGGCTCAGGCAATCCTCTCGCCTCCACTTCCCAAAGTGCTGGGATGAGAGGTGTCAGCCACCATGCCTGGCCAGATGGGTGTTTAAAAGCTCCTGGTACCACCTTCCATCTCGATTCTTCTCTTGCTATGTGACACGCCTGCACCCCTTTCCTTCCACCGATGCTGAGATTCTTTTAGAAAGTGTTCTTTTCTCACAAGGTGCTGAGTAGTAGATGTGTGATTGTATTTATAGTGTTGAGACTTCTTAACAGTCCTGTTCAGCAAGGGTGGAGAGTTTCTCACTGTCTAATTCTAGCGACATCTCAGCCTATGCTGTCTTTGGGGAATGAGGAGAAACGGAGGCAAATGAGCAAATGGACTCACACGGAATCATACTTGGAACCCACAATGGATACAGGAGGACCAAGTCAATTTTGCCACTCTGCTCCCCTTGCAAAAGCATCCCTGAACTCGACCAGAATCCTTATGCATGCCAGCATTTCTTTTAAATGACATGTTTCTTTGTGTTCCTTATCACAACTGGCAGCACTTACCTTTTTCTAGTGCTTTCTAGAGCTTTCCAGGTGTCTTCTATTACTTTGTCTCCTTCATGTTTTTCTAAATTTTATAGAAAAGGAAACTGAAGTTCAGACAGGTGATGTGACTTGCCAAGGTGACATAATTAGTGAGGAAAGGATTCAGGATTTTTTTTATTTTTTGAGTCGGAGTCTCACTCTGTCACTCAGACTGGAGTGCAGTGGCACGCTCACAGCCACTGCAGCCTAGACCTACTGGGCCCAGGTGATCCTTCTACCTCAGCCTTCCAAGTAGCTGGAACCACAGGCATATGCCACCATGCCTGGCTAATTTTTTTTTTACTGTAGAGATGAGGTCTCGCCAAGTTGCTCAGGCTAGTCTCAAACCCCTGGGCTCAGGCAATCCTCTCACCTCCACTTCCCAAAGTGCTGGGATGACAGGCATGAGCCACCACACCCGACTAATCATTTGTTTATTTATTTATCGAAGAGATGAGATCTTGTCAAGTTGCCCAGGCTGGTTTTGAACCCCTGGACTCAGGCAATATTCTCACCTCCACGTCCCAAAGTGCTGGAATAACAGGCATGAGTCCCCATGCTCATCTTAGGATCCAGGATTTATGGGTCCTATTTTCCTGGAGAATTGTTTTAACTTTATTGACTTTAAGCCAGCGTAAGCGTAAGTATCCACATATGACTGGTGGCCACCATATTGGATGGTGCAGAACTGGAGAGGGTAGGTCTTTACCACAGTCACCACTGTATGTCAGATGGAGAGGCTGAAATTTCACCTTTGTCCCCATCTTCAGTGAGGAACATGTCACCTCTCAACTGAAGCATGGACTATGTCTGAAGCATGCTACCAATAGCTCTGGCACACCTAACATAACAAGGATCATCCCCAGACTCAAAGCTCGGCATCCAGTCCCGCTGTGGCTTCCCACCCCAGACTGTCCCAGAGGAAAGCATTGCCTGCCCAGGCGACAGCTCCCATTTTCCCAGAAGTCAGAGCAGTTCCTGAAAGGATCTTTCTAGAACTGGCTGGTCCTGGGACCAAAATGTGACCTTCAGCAAAAGAAGAGGTCACCATAGCGGAGCTATGTGTGAGGTCAGGTTGTGTGAAGCATTCCATAAGGCAATAGGTAGCAGAAGATGACAGAAGGTGACGCTATCAGCAGCCAATTGCCATTGAGCCAGAGAACTTTGATGCCAATAAATCAAAGCCCGCTAGCAAAAATAGACTTGGGAGTGCCACTGCCACCTGTCCCAGCCTATCTCTGGCCGCCATCTGAAAGGGCTGAATGCCAAGATGCTAAACATAGTGCTTCCTCACCCGGGGCCATGTGCAGCCTGAGGATGACGGGAACTTTTGGAGAGAGTGCAGGAGCATGCAGGTGCTGTCTGGCCAGGAGACACATCTCCAGAAGCAACAGGGCCCAGTAGCAGGCATGGTGCCACTTCAGAGAAGGCACTTTGTAGGGCTCCAGAGGCTCTTGCATTATAGGTGCTTCTGACATGCCTAAGACCATGGAGATTATCCCTAGACTCTGCCTGGAGAAAGGTAGTCTGCTGAGCATGGTGGCTCACACCTATAATCCCAGCACTTTGGGAGGCTGAGGCAAGAGGATTGCCTGAGCTCAGGGGTTCAAGACCAGTCTAGGCAATTTAGTGAGACCTTGTCTCTACAATAAATAAAAATTTTTTAAAAAAATTAGCTGGGCGTGGTGGCACACACCTGTGGTTCCAGCTACTTGGAAGATTGAGGAGGAAGGATCACCTGGGCCTAGCAGGTTGAGACTGTGGTGGCCGTGAGCGTGCCACTGTACTCCAGCCTGGGCAACAGAGTGAGACACCAACTCAATAGAAAAAAAATGACGTTGTTTGACTATTGCTGATGGCTTTTGCATGCTCAAGATTCTCCAGGAAAATAGGACCCATAATGTATAGTGTATTGATATACATATATGTTGTGTATATACAGATGCCCGTACCACTTATTATCACTTTAAGAAATAAATGAGCACAATACTTAGAACAATGTCTAGCATATTGCAGGCACTTACTAAACACTAGCTATTGTTACTATGATTAATTTGGGAGGGATGTCATAGAGGAACAGCCTCAATATCAACCAATATTGATAAATACATTAATATAAGATAATCTAGACTATATATCCTATTGGTATATTCAGCTGTATCCTAATGTATATCCTACTGGTATATTTATTTTTTAAAAATTTGTTTTAGCCAGGCTCGGTGGCTCAGCCTGTAATCCCGCGCCTTTGGGAGGCTGAGGTGAGTGGATTGCCTGAGACCGCGGGTTCGAGATCCGCCTGGGCAGCAAGACCTTATCTCTACAATAAAATCAAAAAATTAGTCGGGCGTGGTAGCGCATGCCTGTAATTCCGGCTACCCCGAAGGCTGAGGCGGAAGGATCGTCGGAGCCCAGTAAGTCAAGGCTGCAGTGGCCGGAAGTGGCCACTGCACTCCAGTCTGGGCGACAGAGTGAGACTCCAACTCAAAAAAAAAAAAAATTTTGTTTTGAGTTGAGGTCTAATTCTGTTGCCCAGGCTGGAGTGCGGTGATCTTGAACTCCTAGCCTCAACCTCCTGGACTCAGGTGATCCTTCCACCTTAACCTCCCCAGTGGCTGGGACAGGCATGCCACCATGCCCTGCTATTATTTTTCTTTTCTGTAGAGACAAGGTCTTGCTATGTTGCCTAGGCTGGTCTTGAACTCCTCGGCTCAAGCAATCTGCCTGCCTTGGCCTCTCACAGTGCTGGGATTATGGGAGTGAGCCACCGCACCCGGCCCTGTTGATAGATTTATTGTGAGCGATTTATTACGAATGGCAACTCTCCCTTCCGTCTTTTGTTCTGGGTAGCCCCTCGATGGTTGGATGCTGCCCCCTCCCCACCCTGAGGAGAGCAAAGTCCTTTGCTAAATCCACCAGTTCAAATGCTAGTCTCACCTGAGACACTCTCAGGAACAAGCCAAGAAATGATGTTTAGCCAAATATCTGAGTGCCCCGTGATCCAGTGAAGTTGACATATAAAATCAACCATCACAGCTTCCTTCTGTACAGATGACGTGTCACAGCCTCAAAGCCCCGTCCGTCTCACAGATCAGAAATCCTATGGTGAAGAGGATCCCGACAGATGGTTTGGTCAGAGGCAAAGAGCAGGGCGCATTGCAGAGGCAGACCCCGGATCCACAGCCTGCTTTCTGTGTGATGGGGCAAATCGTGTGGCTTCTCTGAACCCACTCCCTCCCTGGCTGGGCCTCAGACTCCCCAGGAGCTTGTAAACCCTGAACTATCTCTTACTGACCTAGCCACTAAATCAACATTGTGGGAGGCGGGGCACAGCGGTCTCCATGACCCGCAGAGCTGCTGGGGGATTCTGAGTCAGTGGGACACTGCCTGTTGCTGGTTTTTTGGCCTGAATCTGACAAAAGTCTTGTTACACTGACTTCATGCTGCCCTGTCATGCCTGGACCACCTAGGAAGAGGAGACCTGCCTGGAGCCATCTTTACCTGTTTTCTTTTTCTTTTTTTAGACAGTGTCTCACTCTGTCACTCGGGCTGGAGCACTGTGGTGCAATCTTGGCTCACTAAAGCCTCCGCCCTCAGAGCTCAGGCTATCCCCCACCTCCCACTGCCTCAGCTTCCCTAGTAACTGGGACTACAGGCCTGTGCCACCACACTCAGCTAATTTTTTTGTAGAGACGATGTCTTGCTATGTTGCCCAGGCTGGTCTTGAACTCCTAGACCCAAGTAATCCTCCCTCCTCAGCCTCCCTAAGTGCTGCGATTGCAGGTGTAAGCCACCACACCTGGCTTTATCTGTTTTCTTTATGGGCCTCGTCTCAGCAAGTCATTCTGTATATAAATCCCCTTCCCCCCACCCCACTTACCTTCCCTCTGTTGAGGTTTTCAACAGTTTAGAGGACAGGAGACAATGCCCCTCCTTCTGTGCCCACCATTTTATTTTGTCTATCTTTCTTAGTCAAGGTCTTCTCTGTCACCCAAGCTAGAGTACAGTGGCATAATCAACCTCCTGGGCTCAGACAATACTTCTGCCTCAGCCCTCCTGAGTGGCTGGAACTGCAGTTGGGCACCACTGTGCCCAACTAATTTTTTTTTTTTTTTTGTAGAGATGAGGTCTCTCTATATTGCCCAAGCTGCTGTGCCACCTTTGATGCAAACAACTCCAGCATCTCTCCATAAACTTGATGTTGACTATTGATTCGTGGTTTGAAATAATCACCATTTCATTCCCATCACATTGATATATCTTTCTGCTCCTAATTAGCCAACAATTTTTATTTTCTATTTTTAACTTTTATTCTTTTGATAAATCATAAAAAGTTATTGTTTTTATCAAACGCCTTCATAGCATTTACTAAAAGGATTTTTCTCCTCCTTGGCCCATGTAAGTGCCATTTTGTATTCTTAGATGTCCTGACATGAAACCATCCTTGCATTCCATACTTCTGTAACAACCCTACCTGATAGTAACAGACTAGTCAATGTCAATCCAATGTGTGTGTGTGTGTGTGTTTTCTCTCAGGTTGGGCCTCAAAGCTAAGTTGGCTTCTTAAAGGGTAGCAGAATTGTTATTTTTTAAATGAAAACACTGAAACTATAAATGACATAGCAATTGTCTATTCCCTAAAAGTTTGAGGGAACCCAGCAGAACAACCACAGGTACCTGTGAGCCTTTGCAGAGTATTAGGGAGATATCACTTGATAACTTTAAAGTGCCATCTCCAGGTTATTAGTCTTTTGAGATGTTTTACAAACTTGAGTTATTTCTAGCCATGTTAAGTTTTATCAGAAAACCATCTGCATTTTTTAATTGATCAGCATAGAATTCTACCTCATAGTTTTCTGTTTCTAAAGCCCCATTTTTATTTCTTATTTTATTTGGGTTTCTATCATATCTGTCAAAGTCTAGGTCTATGTAAACTCCCTCCCCCAAATAGAACAATGTATCTACTTTATTAATTTCACTGTTTTCTAGTATTTTTTATAATGTTTAATTGTTCCTTCCATTGCTTTCTTCCTTCTATTTTTGTGAGACTTTTTTGTCTTTTTTCCCCCTGTAAGATCTATGAGTTGACAGCTTAATTCATGGTTTTATTTTATCTTGTTTAATAATGAATGCATTTGAGGCTGTGGGTCTGTCTGAGTGCAGCCTTTTTAATTTTGCAAATAATTCAGGCGGAAGTCAATATTTATCGAACATGTCTTCTGTCAGACGCTGTGCTGAAGACTTCATGTCCCTCCTCCTTAGTAGTTGGGAGGACTCACCTTCTTTGTGAGGCTACAGGAGCCTGCCTAAGACTGCCCAGGGAAAAGGCCCCAGCCCCCAACCCCCAGTCCCCAGAAGGGGTTGATGCCTTGATTGCATCGATTCGTCCGATTGCCCCTACATTTTGTATCCCTGTTCCCATTTGACACGTAAGGAGTGTCAGGCCCCGCAGAGTGAAGGAATTTGCTCAAGATCATCTGGGGAGAAAGGTCAGTACAGGCTCCCACACCTGGTCTGTCTGGACGGGCTCTCCATACAGCCTCACCCCTGCTTTGGAGTCCCTGGAGGGAAATTAGCAGAACAGCAGCAAAGAAGAGCCGTGCCAAGGTTCAGAAAACTGAGCTGATCTGTCTTGTGCTCAGTCCAAAAGCCCCCACACCTCTGCCTCTCCTTAAGCTCCCGTGGGCTGGGGTCTCAGGCATCCTGCCCTCGCCAGCAGGTCTCCTGGGAGACCTTCAGCCCTTTTCCATAGGAGAGAGGAGACAAGGGCTTTTAATGATCCCCACGCTGCTTTAAAACTGCCTCCACATGGGACCTGCACACAGCCCACGCCCCCAGCCCCTCCCTGCTTACTGGTATTGGGAGACTCCCACATTCTGCTCACCATGGCTCTGGGCAGGCATCAGGCTTGGTGCCATCCCAGGTTCCCCTCACCCGGGAGGACCCAGGCCCAAGTGTGCCTCCCCTGGTGTTTGATGGGGGCAGTTCCTTGTGGGGAATCGGGGTGGAATTTGGGGAGATGATGCCCACAGCTGGGCCCCCGTGTTTACAGTGGGCAGTCCATGTCCACAGCTGAGCATCCATGTTTGCAGGGAGAGATCTGGGGAGGTGATGCCCACAGAGGGCTCCCATGTTTACAAGGGGAGGTTTGAGGAGGTGATGCCCACAGAAGGCCCCCGTATTTGCAAGGGGAGACCTGGGGAGACAATGTTAACAGCTGGGCCCCCGTGTCTGCAGACGGGTACACCTTTGTTTGCCCTCCATCTGCATCCCCACTGGGAGACTGGCCTTGTATGATCCTGCACACATGCACTCTTGAACAAGTGGATCCACTGCCGCTGTGCAGTCTGCCCTCTGAGGCTTATTTGTTGACGTGAAAAGGAAAGAGACGGGACCAACGACCGAGTATGTGCAATTGTATACAACAGGAAACCAGGAGGAGCTGTCCAGGGAGAAGGGACAGGCAACCCTGTGGGCTCCCGGGCAGGTCTGGAGGGTGCTGGGATGGGAGCCAGCCCTTGGCCCTGGCTCTGTGTCCTCCCAGAGTGCCCAGGCACCCGCTCATGACCTCACAGTCCTCGCACCTACTGACGTGACCCTGCCCCAAATTCTCTCCAGTCATGCAGCACTGGGGAGTCCTCCAGCACTCCTCATTATTATTATTATTTTTGGTAAAGACAAAGTGTTGATATGTTGACCAGTCTAACCTTGAACTCCTGGCCTCAAGCAATCCTCCTACCTCAGCCTCCCAAATTGCTAGAATAACAGGTGCTGTGTATGTTGGAGCTTGAGGGAGGCCCGGGCCCCAAGTGGCAGCTCCTGGGACTAGTGGTCTGGGGCCCTCTTGGACCTAGGAGTGGGCACAGGGCTGAGTTGCATGTAGCCTGGATCCCATGGCTGGACTTGAACCTGGAGTCTGGAATGCCTGTGCTGATTTTTGAGAGATCCCTTTTCACAAGAAAAGCTTTGTTGTGAAAAGTGGTAAGGCTTTATCATGTTGATGAAAGTCTCCACTGATAAATGTATCCTATTCACTCTGGTGGTGTGTAACCGCTTGATGAGACACGGGCTGGTTGGGACTAAGTGACTAATACAAGATCCCAGGCCCCCATCTGTGTTCTCGCCTCTGTGCTCACAGCTCGCGTCTGGGTTATACTTGAACGCTCGACACCTGCCTTCCTGATAGCCGTAGGGCCTGAAGAACTTGCAAACTTTCCTAACCCAAACGTGAAGCACTTATTTAAGAATTATTATAACTACTGAGCCTTTATCTCATAAATGAAAGACACCAGGAAAAACAGCACATTGCAGAAATACCCTGAATAACCTGCTATTCTAATTAAATTTGATCATGCTTTGAAAAAAAGAAAGAAAGAATTAATCTCTGACCCTCAAAGACAAAGAGTGAGACCTCTCAGGACCCTTGGGACATGAAAGCATGAAAGACACTCACGACTTCTCTCCTGCTCTCCTAAAGGATTTATCAAGGGGTCTCCCTCACTTCATCCTGGATGGGGCAAGCAGATTTGACATCCAACAAGGCGGCGCAGGTAAGAACTGGACATCTTCCCCCTCGGCCCTGCACAAGGCAGGCTGCCCCTGGTCACACCCTGGACAGGGGGCTGCCCAGAGTCCTGCCTCAGCTTGTAGAGACATGCTGTCGATCTGTTGACCAGGCTAATCTTGAGCTCCTGGCCTCAAGCCATCTTCCCACCTCTTTCTCCTCTGGAGGGTAGAGCTGGTCCCCCGGGGGTACTGTAGACAGACTGTTCAAGCCCCGTCTTGAAGCACCCCCTCCCCACTGCAGTAAATAGGGGAAGCTTCAGTGCTGGAAGAGAGGAAGGAAGGAGAGACGGGAAAGGGAAGTAAACCCGTCTTGAGTTTCTGCAGGGCTGAGCGTGACCCGGTGCTTGGGTATCTTCCTCACTCCCTACAAACATAGAAGAGCCAAGAGGTTGAATCATTTGCTTAATGTCACATGACACAGTTAAGGGCTGTCTGCCTCCCTCCCACCCCACAGACAGCCCCAGAGCAAAGAAGCCCCTGAGACCTGGGAGCATGACAGGGACACAGGAGGGTCTGCCTGAGAGAGGGCCCCTGATGGTCCTAGGTGTGGCCAGGAGACTCCCCGAAGGGAGCAGCCTAGGAGTGGAAGAGCAGACCTGGCTGGCCGGGGAGGGGACCGTGGCCAAGTTGGGAGACACAGCAAGACAACAGCCCTTCGGAGGACAGGCTGTAAGCCTTGCAAACGGGAGCTTGCCCATGAGAAGCATTGATGGCATTGCTGTGTCTTGGACCAAGTCGACAGTCCCTGCCTAGCCCAGCCATGGATTCCGCCCTTAGGGTGGCCCCGGCTGGAGAAGAGACCTCTCTGAGGGTGTCTCTGTGGCTTCTGCACCAAGCACTGGTGTGAGCCACTCGTGTTGAAGGCAGAGGCAGGAGGATGCAGGGAGGGATGGGCATCCTCCAAGGGCTCACATGGGCACCCCAAGAGAAGCTCAGGCCACACACCCCCAGGGAGGAGGGGAGGACCGCCTCTTCCCCGTGCCTAGGGGCTGAGCTAACACCAGCAGAGAAACACACAAATCGGTTTTCTGCGATTACACAGAGCCCCATTGCCACCGACGTTGGTGGCAAAACTCACTGTAACTTCAGCTCTGGGCACCCCTGGCACCCCTAGGTGGGCCCCACCGCCCTCCTCCCCCACCACCCTCACTCTCACCGCTGCCATGACCACCACCCCACGACCACTACCGCCACAACCACCACCAGCCTTTCTCCATCTTGCTTGGAAGTGGCTCCTGGGACTCCTTCCCCAAGACTCTGGTGACGAGAACCTGGGAAATCACAGACTGGGGCTCGCAGGTGTGTCCAGCAGGCCTCTCCCGGCTTCTGCCACCTCACAGGAGACTGCTGGTTCCTGGCGGCACTGGGCTCCCTGACTCAGAACCCACGGTACCTGCAGAAGATCCTGATGGACCAGAGCTTTTCTCACCAGTACGCAGGCATTTTCCGATTCCGGGTATGTGCACCACCATGATACTCGTTGTAAGGCGGGGTTTTCCATGGGCACAAGGGAGGGGGGACTTGAGTTTTCTGGCTGTCTGAGATGGAGGGCCACTTCTGTGCTGGTTACCCTGGCTGCCTTCAAAACGGGCTTGCACTTCTGCTCTGATGGCATGCAGGAAATATGAGTCAACATGCTTCCATGGAAATAAAAAGAAATGGGTGGTGAGAGAATTGCCTGAGCCCTGGGTTCGAGACCAGCCTGGGCAAATTGGCCAGACTTCATCTCTACAATAAATCAAAAAATTAGCCGGGTGTGGTGGTGCGCACCTGTAGTTCCAACTACTTGGAAGGCTGAGGTGGAAGGATCACCTGAGCCCAGCAGATCGAGGCTGCAGTGGCCATGAGCGTGCCACTGCACTCCAGCCTGGGAGATGGAGTGAGACTCTGACTCAAATAGATAAGTAAATAAATGAGAAAAAGCAGCAGCAGAAACAAGGAGCAAAAGGAGACAGTTGATGGTCAAGGACCCCGTCACCAGCTCCGAGCCTCTGTCTGTGTCCCTGTGCCATTCTGTGCTGTCTTGATTATGGTTGCTTTATAGGAAGGAGACACTTGGTGGGATGCCTTCTCCTCCATGACTCTTTTCTCAGAAAGATCTTGGTCATTCTTGCACATGTATTCGTCCATGAGAATTTTAAAATCATTGTGTCTAATTAAAACGAGAAGCCACTGTGACACGGATTGCAGTGGTGCTACATTTATGGATTAATTTCGAAAGATTTCATTTTTATGATTTTAATGATTCCTTTCCAGAAGCATGGCGTACCTCTCAGTTTATCCAGAACTAGTTTTATGCCCCTCAATGAAATGTGATCATTTGGTGCTGTACCTTCCCTGGTAAATTAACTCTCATATATTTTACAATTTTGCAGCCAATGTAAATGAGATTTTCTTTCCCCATTCATGTCTAACTAGATATTGCTAGAAACGGGAGAAGCAACTTGATTATGTATGAAGCTGCGTCCAGCCACCTCGCCGCAGCTTTTTATTGTTCTCATATTTCCCCTTAGCGGGATCTGGATTGTTTTAGTTGCCCAATAATGTTATCTGCAAATAACGGTAATTTTGTCTCTCCGGTTAATACTTGTGGAACTTATTCTGCTCTTTTGCCCGGTCACATTCGTTGACACCTCACAATTTTGAATTAGAAAGACAAAAGCCAAATCCTGCCTTCTCTTGATTTTAATCATGTGCTTTCCTGATTTGCCGGGGGTTTTTTGGTTTTATATTTTCCTTTTTGAGTCAGGGTCTTACTCTGTTGCCCAGGCTGGAGTGCAGTGTCATGACCACAGTTTATCCCAGTCTCAGACTCCTGGGCTCACATGATCCTCCTGCCTCAGCCTCTCAAGTAGCTGGGACTACAGGTGTGTGCCACCATACTCAGCTAAGTTTCTTCAGTTTTTTGTAGAAATGAGGTCTCACTGTATTGCCCAGGCTGGTCCTGAACTCCTGGGCTCAAGCGATCCTCCCGCCTCGACCTCCCAAAAGGCTGGGGTCACAGGCGCGAGCAACCACGCCCAGTCTGCTATTCTTTTAGTCTGCTGGATTCAAGTTGCTATCAGTTTTGTTAGGATTTCTGCACCCATGTCATGGGCAGAATTGGTTTATAGCTCATGTTATTTTTATCATGTTTGCACTATGCTAGCTTTAAAAAAATGAACTGATCAAGCTTTATATACTTTGATTTGAAATCATTTGAATAATGGTTGCTAATCATTGATTATTTGTTCTTTGAAAGTAAAATACACCATTGTTAAATTACCTGGGTCTGTCTCCTTTTCACATGTGATTTCTTTAACTCTTTCAGTGTATGCAGTAGCTATTGATCTGCTCAGGCCTTTTATTTCTACTGGAGTTAATTCTTGAAATTTGTACTTTATTAGAAAATCAACTGTTTCTTCAGTGTTTTCAAATATGTTGCCACAGTGTTGCTCATATGACTCTCTGATAATTCATTAATCTCTTGTAATCTGTGCCTAAATCTACCTTCTCAACTGTGCTACATTTTTATTTTTCCTTTTTTCCCCCTTAATTCAGCTTTGTTTTATCTAACCAATCTGTCACATTGGGTTCCCTTTCTTAACAAATCAAATTTTACTTCCCATTCTTCTTTCTATTCTTTTTCTTTTGAGGTTTTATTATCTATATAGCTAATTTCAATTGTCTTTATTAATTTTTTTACTTCTCTTAATTGTATTGTTCTTTTGTATTTTATATTCTTAGTCCTTTTTAATGATAAAAGCTTTTAAGACTATAAATGCTCCTCTGAGAGCTTATCTGTATATATGTTTTGATATAATATATCTTACTTTTATTAATTTTTAAGGTCATATATGTTTAGTGTTGATCTCTTTTTTCATATCAGGGCTGTCTCTTTAACGTTTATGTAATTTTCCAGTGATGAAGTCTGCAAGGGGGTAATCTTTTGGTTGGTGAGTTTTAATTTTATTAAATTATGGTCAGAGAGCATAATGCATAAACTCTACATTTGAGGAAATTATTAAAGTAGTTTTATTCATGGTGAAGTCCAGGGCCATTTTTGTAAATGGTTTTTGGACCCACAAGAGCAACGTGTTTTATCTAATGGCCGTGAACTTTATATAACCAAGCTTTCTGACTTGCAGTTGTATTATCTTTCACCTTGACTTATATTGTCTGCTTGACTTGTGACACCATGAAAGAGGTGAGCCGAGGCTTCTCCCCAGCTGCTGTTGGAGAGGACTTCCTGCAGGCTCTGCCAGTGTGGCTTTCCCCTTCTCCTGCCGCCCTCCTTGGTGCCCGATGGCTGACAGTCTTGCCAAATTCCTGCTGGCATCCAGCATGTGCACTGTCTCACTGTGGCATGTCCAGCACTCCAGCCTGGAGCTCCTCTTCCCCCAATGTCTGAGTTGCCACCCCAGTGTCCTGTGGTTTCCATTTCCTGTTGTGTCTCACTCATTGCCTTCCTATCATTTTCCTTTTTGCTCTGTTATGTGTGTGTTTCTTATGAGACATGTACTGAAAGCCCATTACTCACTGCTCTCTCTTCTATCGTTCACTTCTTCTTAAGATCTTGGTTCTAACCAAACATTTGTTAGATAGAAGTTCCTTGAATGATTTCCATGGAATGCATGAGAGGTTTCATTTGCACTCACTGAAGAAGGATATTTTGCTTAGGGTTAGAATTCTTAGATTTCCTTTTCCTGAAAAGTGTGTCAACACTATCCCATTGTCTTGTAGCTTCCAGTGCTGCAGAAGAAAAATCTGATGTTAATCTATTCTCTTGACTGTGGGTGTAACATGTTCTTTCAAACTGCAAGTCTATAAGGGGTGCTCTCTCTCTCCTTGAGGTTCAGAAATTTCTCTAGAATACATCCAGATGTGTCCCTTTAAAAGTTCATCTTGACTGGGCTCGGTGACTCAGCTTATCATCTCAGCACATTGGGAGGTCGAGGTGAGTGGATTGTCTGAATCTGCAGGTTTGAGACCAGCCCAGGCAACTTGGTGAGATCTCGTCTCTAGAATAACTCAAAACAAATTAGCTGGGCATGACAGCCCATGCCTGTAGTTCTGGCTCCTTAGAAGACTGAAGCAGAAGGATTGCTGGAGCCCAGCAGGTTGATGCTGGGGATGCCATGAGCATGCCACCACACTCCAGCCTGAGAGACGGAGTGAGACTCCAACTCAAAAAAAAAAGTTCATCTTGTCTGCAATTCAGTGATGTCCTTCAGTCTGAAGGCCTGCATCCTTCTGCTCAACTAAGTTTCCCTCCATGATTCCTGGCCCCTCCTCTCACCTGCTTTTGCTTCCTGATGTCCAACAATCTTTGAACTTGGTCCTCTCACATTCACCTGGTGATGCCACTGCTGCCGGCCCAGGGACCATACTGAGGGGCGAGCTAGCAGGTGCTGGATTGGGCAGTGCCTGACCTGTCCCAGTGCTGCCAGCATTGAGGGAGTTGCCTAGATGGTTAGGACAACTCTGGGCCCAGGCAAGACACACTCTACCTTCTGGGTGGTAAAGAAAGGCCCACAGCTCCCCAGAGGCAGCTGCAGTGCTGACCTCTGCAGATCTCATCCCTGTGAGCTTGGGCATAGCGCTCCAGAAGGCACCCAGAGCCCGGGGCACCTCAGATGCTTTGGTTTCCCTGACAGGCCCTTAGATGTTGGCAAATGGTTCTTGGAAACAAACTCCAGCCCTGGTCAACCAGAGGCAGGAACCAGGAAGTGCGGGTAGGTGGCTTCATTTTTGGCCTCTAGCCAGGCCACCTGCATCCCCTCTGGGAGCAGCATTGTTATCTGATGTCCCCTCTATGTCAGGAGAGTAAGCTGGAGCAACATTCTTGATGTGGGAAGACAGACAGACGACGGGGTGAGGGTGACTTCTAAGATGAACTCGCCAGAGGAGCCCATTCAGCCAGTACTCATTCTAACCTAATGTGTGCCCGGCGCTGTCTCAGGTGCTGAACGAAATGATTCGAAAAACAGTCTCTTCTCTCAGAACTGTGACCTCACATTCACAGTCTCCTCTGATCCCAGTCACAGCCTGTGGGAAAGTTATTACTCTTAACACCATTTTAAGGATGAGGAAACTGAGGCACAGAGAATTAAGTGTCTTGTTCAAAGCCTGGTGCTTGGGTAATAAGAGGGAAAACCAGAATTCCAGCTCAGTTCTACCGACTGGGTGCTGTCTCCTGTAAGCTGCTTTTCAATTAAGCACAAAACCCGGATTCTCTCCCCACTCCCTCCTTCTGGGACAGGGATTCACTTTCCTGGGTAATTCAGATGTGCCCAATGGGCTTCCTTCTAATGACATGACTTCTGCCTCTCAACCACACTGCCCACACGTCTTGCCCACTGCAATCCCATCCCGGGTCCGCAGCTGTGCAGAACCGGCCACAGAACCTGACTCAATAGTGACTGCAGCACCCACATCTTCTCTGCTTGGTCTCCCCCGACATCTCTCTCTCCATCTCCATCTCCCCCTGAAAGTGCATTCTCAGTGGCATGCCACAACCTGGTCTCTGAGATGTCCAGCTGCGGGGAAGGCTGTGTGGATGAGTGTTCACATGTGCCCAGCTCTCCACATGGCCTACCTGGTGGATACTGGCCCTCGCTGAGACTCAGACCCAAAGCTGGAAGGCCTGCCGCTTATCCCACACAAGGAGGTGGCCCAGAGAACCAAAGGTTGGCTCTGCCATTTGGGGTTGACTGTTGAGGATGAAAACAGTCTGTTTTGGGTGAGGAACATCTGGCTCATTTGCACTCCGAGCAGTGGCTGTGCCCATGTCTCCTCTCTGTGGCTCTCACAGCAGGGCCAGCTTGGTGGGACTGGAGTGGCCAGTGTAGGGTTGCCACTGCACAGCCCTCCAGAGCCGGCCGTGTCCTTGTGCCTGCTGGCCTATGCCCACCGTCTCTGCTTCCCTGTCTCCCCGCCACCTGCTAGAATCCCACCTCTTCCCTAAAGCAGTTCCTGGCAGGCTCTGTCCCCTCATGGCAGCCCTGACCCCAACTCCACTTGTCATTCAACACGGGCTCCCCTCCTGCCATTCTATGCACAGAAAGAACCCGGACAGCCTCGTGCATGTCCTTGGAGCTCACAAAGGACTTGCCACAGGGGAGCATCATCATGTAATAGCAATGACCGCAGTGGCAAAGTCAGGCTAGAGCCCAAGTTTTCTTCCCTCGACTGTGTCTTCCTCTACTCACTTGATCTGCAACATTTTCTGCAATAGCCAGAAGATGACAAGCCCGGTCCCTGTCCTGCATCTTAGACAGGGAGCCCATTCTGGATAGAGTTTTTTGCTGCATGGTGCAAGCCACGTTGTGGCTGTGGGTAACCCCGGCTTGGGCAGAGCACCTCCCCGCTCCCCACTCCACTCTGCTGAGGCATGTGCTTGGCTCTCTTCCAGTTCTGGCAGTGCGGCCAGTGGGTTGAAGTGGTGATTGATGACTACCTGCCCGTCGTGGGCAGAAACTACTTGTTTGTACGTCCTTACCAAGACACCCAGGAGTTCTGGCCCTGCCTGCTGGAGAAGGCCTATGCCAAGTGAGTATGGCCCGCATGTTGGCTCGAGGCTCCAATGCCGCCCACCTGCCCAGGGGCTCGTGGCAACTCTCCTGGACGCAAGTGGCACCTTCAGGACATTGTGGTCCTTGCTGCCAGGCTCCAGGGACAATCTGTGTGCAAGGGGCGGTGCTGGGCCATCAGGAGGGTCTCAGGGCACATGGGGCAGGCAGGACGGGAGCTGGACAGAGACCACATGGACAGTGACGTCATTGCAAGACTGGGGTAAGGCCCAAATGAAATATAACATCATGGCCCAAGTGCCAGGAGCAGGTTCAGCAGCATGTAGACAAGCCTGACCTTCTGCCTCAGAGTCAGGCGAGGCTGTAGGTAGGAGGGTTGCAGAGCGAGGCTTGGAAGAATGGGTAGAATTTCAGAGGGGGAGAGGTTGGGTGGGAGGAGGTTTCCCCAAACCGGGAGTGATTTGGGTAAAAGCACGGGGGTGGGAGGAAGGTTCAGGCCGCCGGGTGCGTGGGATGGCTGCTGCCAGGGGCCTCTTGTGGGAGGGGGTGGTGGGGCGGGACGTGCCCCTTCTCGAATGGTCAGAACGCCATGGCTTGGGGACGGCCTGGAGGTGTTGGCAAGCTCGAGCAGGCATGAGCACCCTGACTTGCATGTTTTACTTAGACTCCTTTCGTCCAACAGATGTTTAGTGAGCATTTAACCATATGCCGGGCTCTGTGCTTGGTGCTGGGACAGATGCTCACAGGTTGGCTCCAGTGGACGTGTGCAGCACTGTGTGTATGTGTGTGTGTTCAGGACCGTGTGTGCGCGCGCACTTGTGTGTGTGTGTGCGCGCGCCTTCCCTTCTGCTGCCCGATTCTCCACCCACCTCCTGATCCCAGAGTCAGAGTCCAGACTTGTCATGCTTGGTCAGGTCCCCACTGCACCAATCAACCATGACCAGGGGCCAGGGGCTCTAAAGGTGGCGGCCCGGGCAGCTGCCCTGTGGGCAGGGGCTGGGGAAGGGACAGCCTCCCTCAGAAGGGGCTGGGCAGGCAGACAGAGAGAAACATATCAGAACCGGAGTCATAGCTGGCAGGAAAAAGCATCCAGGACCACACGCTTGAGGAAATGAGTAGAGAGAACCACTGAGTTCAAAGGTTCCAGACATCCATTCCAGCCCCTCGTTCACAGACGGACAAGTTGCATCTCCAAACACAGGTGAGATAGCAGGTGTGGGTCATTAACCCAGATCCACCAAGGTCTCCAGTCACCTGCCCACGGAGGTCCTTTAGCAGGAAGGCAAGCTCTGCTGGTCCAGCCCTGGGCCCTAGGGAGTGGTAAGGACGCCACAGCCCACTCCAGACCTTCTGGAAGTCACCGTCTCAGCTGCGACAGACCGCAGGACCTCTTTGTGTATTCTTTCTTTCGAGGTGACTTGTGAAAAACCCAAGTCTGTGTTCATTTCCAGGGTCAGGAAGGGCCGCTCATTAGCATGTGAGAATGAAGTCCAGATAGCAGACAGACTGTGAACAACCCGCGTCTGGGAGGTTAATTCGCATCTAAGCAGCTTAGACAGACCTGGCCATTATCCTTCCAGCACGGAGTCGACCCTGTCACTCTAGGGCCTGTTTTTTTTTTTTTCCTTCTGTGAAGGGGTGTCCTGGTGGCTCACTGGGAGAATGAGAAAGCTTGCAGTATGAAATAAGCACTCTGACCTCATCGCCTGAGCGGATGACCTGAAACGACCATTCTGCTTGAACGGAAGGGGCATGGCTGGCATCCCCACTCCACCGCCGGAAGACATCTGGCTGAGGAGCCATGCCTGCAACTCCTAAAGCTACTTAACCCTCCCCGGGCAAAGAGGAAAGTTGTAGAATGCAGGAGGGAGTCAAACGGGATGATGGCATTTCCCAGCTGAAGGGTCCTCTCTCAGCATCGAACCCCACCTCCTTCTTTGAAAGATGAGAAAACTGAGGCTCAGAGGAGTGAGATGCCTTTCCTGAGATCACACCATGTTGGGACCAAGATGGGTGACACTGTCCTCCCTGGTCACGTGCTTCCCCACCGTCCCTCGACGTGGCTAGCCCTACGGGAAAGGCAACCCCTGGGAAGCCAGCATCTGGTGCATGGGGCCCACCCTGAGGGATGTCCCTTTCCCTCCAGCACTGAGTGACCATGCTAAGCTTCCAATTATCCTTGTGGCTGGGGAGTCTGGACATGAGTCGGCCAAGTTGATCAAATGTGGGGAAAGAACACCATGTTCGGGTGTTGTCTTCCCCCAAGGCCATGACGTGGGCAGGCAATGGAGGGATGGGACAGGGCAGGCTGCATGCCCTCCCTCACAGACCCTCTGACTTCTCAGCACCCGCCAACTCCGTCAGGCATCCAAGACCTTCCCTCCTTTGTGTCGTTGCTGGCAGAGACATTCCCCCAGAAGAGGCCGAAGTGGATGGATGAGGACAGGGTTCTCTGAGGCCTTGCAGTCCAGGGAACAAGGAGCAGTGACCGTTCTAGCGAGCACACAGCTCTCCCTGTCCTTCCTATTTCCATCAGCAGAAGGGCTGCGAAATTGCCGTATTCTCAAAGCATCAGCAGGACCCTAAAGCACATGTCTGTAAAGAGGAGAGACAGCGCCTTGTCAAATCACCCAGCTGCTGCTGGGACAGGCTCTGTGGGCACTGTGGTAGACTGGAGGGAAGGTTCCAGAAGATGCCTTGCAGGGGTGCCGGCCATGTGTCATGGAGTCCTCCCGTTGTGGGTGTCTCTGCAACAGACTGTGGCGGGAGGCCGCCCATGACACCCACAGACACTGAGACGGTGGATGAGGAGGGGACCATCCCCACCATGGTTTTTCTGGAGTGGCTTTGACACAGCCCTGTTGGAAGCCCAGGAGGCACCTGGGCATGGCACCGGGAAGGGGGGCTGTTGCAGTGAACTGGAGGTGGCACTGGTGGGGAACGGGTTCTAGAGCCCAGTCCTGAAGACCTCCCAGCTCCCTCCACCAAGCCCTGGTCATCGAGGAGTAGAGCCAGAACACACACTGAACATCAGGGAGTCTAGCGCCCGGGCCCCGGGCGCACACAGGCTCTGTGGATGGCTGACTGGGCCCCAGGAAGATACGCGTCTGGCGTCGGTCACAGCCTGGGGTCAGAGAGCAGGAGGGCAGCACGATGGACTGTATGGACGGTGTTAAAACACATCGAGATAAACCTGCTGCAGGGGTGTTCCTGAGGGTCGGCCCTGTGCTGGGCGAATCCTCAGCTTTCTTAATAAAAACCTTTCCAGCCGACCTGGCCCTCACACTGGGCCGATGTCCCCCTGGTTCTAGCTGTTTGTCGTGTATTTGCTGCAGGGAATTTGCAGGGATTCCAGGTGGCCTCCAGGAGGAGAGGACAACAGAGGTGGAGACAGTTGAAGGGGCATCTGGGACACCAGGCTGGCCAGGTCGACCCGCTGGTTCCAGATGATAGGCCAAGGGCAGGGAGGGGACAGCCTCGGGGGAGAGGCCTGGCCCTGGCTCATATGATCTCCCATACCTGGAATAAGAGCCACTGCAGGGACGCCCTGCTGCCCTGCAAGGTGTCCTGTCTCCATCTACCCGCCGCCAGGATGGTACAGACAGCTTGGGTCCCAGGGAGGAGCTGGGAGCAGGGGAAGCCGTGAGCATGGCTCCCGCTGAGCACAGGGGCCATCCGGCTCACCCCAGGCCCCATGGGGGCTCTGCTGCACTTCAAGATTCCCAGGGATCGACCCAGCTCACCCCAGGGATAGGAACTTGAGTTTTTGAGATGCACCCGGCTCCATCTCGTCCTTTGTGAGGGCACCCTCTCCCCTGGGGAGCACAGAGCCTCCTGGATCTGACCCCACCCACCAGAAGCAGAAACCCCATGGGCAAGTGGGGGACTCGGAGGAGGTACCCTGGGGAGCAGGCGCGAGGGTTGTAAGCAGAGTCAGTGGTGGCCCCAGCGGTGGCGGGGACGTGGGTGACTCTGGGAGTGGGAGCATAGGCTGCTGTGGCCCCTGCTGGCACCAGGTGTGTCTGCCGGCTCTTGGAGGCAGGAGCGGGGTCCTGCTTGCCTTTGAACATATACCTAGCGTGGTGCCCGCCACGCCATTGCTAAGCTGAATGGGAAGAGCGGACATCTTAGTAATGTCTGGTGTTCATGGGGGCTGGTCACATGCCAAGCGTGACGCGGAGCCCGGCCCCATCAGGAACGTGCCCGGGTCGAGCAGCAACACTTGTGGTGAGCTTGGACACCAGTCCTGGCCCGTGGCACCTGCACCCCTAGCATTCCACAATGCTGCCGCCTGGGGGCTGTCCAAGCCCGGGAGACCAGGGGAGGGAGGAGGAGATGCCAGCCCAAGCCCCAGCCCAGTGGGAGTGGACAGGAGGCAGGTGGCCGGAGTCCATGTGGACCGGGTATCCCTTGCTCAGGAAATACGCACAGGGTCAGAATCCAACCGCCCTCCCCACAATTGTTCCTCTGACATCCCCCCACAGGCTGCATGGCTCTTATTCCCAGCTGCACTACGGCTACATCCATGACTCCCTGGTGGACCTCACGGGAGGCGTGGTCACCTCCCTCAGCCTGCACTCCTCCCCGTCCAACCTGGTGATGGCAGTGAAGACAGCTGCCCGGGTGGGGGCCCTGATGGCCTGCACCACTCCACAGGGGGTGAGTATCCGGGGAGCCCCTCAGCACCTACTCGAGCCTTTCCCCGCCTGGGTTGGTCAAGCCTGGGGGCTATGAGCACTGACCGTGAGTATTAATGGGGCTGCCCATGGGACCTTACGGTACCCTCCCTGAGAAGAGACAGCAGTGCTGGCTGTTCCGAACGTGAGCCAGGCTCAGGGATGCTATGTAAAGTGCTCGCCATCACCCAGCCTGCATCCAAGCAGGGCGTCAATGCTGTGACTCCAGACCCTGGACTCCTGCTGCTTGGTGACTTGCATGACCGGGGTGGGGGTGCCGTCTACCAGAGAGGGGGCAACTCCTGCGGCTGTGGTCAGTTTCCTTGCATTCTGCCTTTGGCTCACCAGGAGTCTGGGGCCCTCTGGTTCTCCCTGGCTCTGGAGGCAGCCCTCAAGGACACCGCCCCATGCTGAAGAGCCGGGTGACCCTCCAAAGGATGTGAATGGTTCTGAGCCATCTGACTCCCAACCCACAAGGATGCTTCCTCTGCCCTTGGGTCACATAGGCTCTGAGTCACACATAAAACACCACCAGAAACCCTGCAGGCATATGAAACCCCAGGGGCTCACAGTGTGGGGTCAGGTGATTCCCATCTCCAACAAAAGACCCCCGGCAGACACTTACGTACCTAGTCTCCCTGATGCTACTGTCTGGCCGAGTAAGCAGCCCTAGTGCTCAGGACTCTATGGGGTTCCATCACTCGTGGGGGGGTCTCCTGGGGCATGAAACCCCTGGAGCCTCCGCACCCGAAGGCTTTCCAACTCTGCCCTCCAGCACAGAGTTCCAGGCCACATGCCATTGCTGCGTGCGGGATGCCAGGTGGCTCGGTGGCTTTTGGAACTGTGTCTTTCCTTCTTCGAGGACCCTGTGGGTGTTTAACGCCGGTCTGCTTCTCTGCTTTGCAGCCAACAGACAAGGCCATGCTGCTGGCGAGCGGGCTGGTGAGTCAGCACGCCTACACCGTGACCGCAGCTGAGAAGGTAAGGTGCCTCCGCCCCACGCCCACTCCTCCACACAGAGTGTGCCTCCGGCAAGCCTAATGAAGCTGCAGGGAGGGCACGTCACCCCTGTCCCCACCGCGCACCTGCCATGATGGACCTGCTCCTTCTGGTCATCTGGAAGGGCTGGCCCCTTGTGTCCACCCTCCCCCCCAGAGAGCTTGCTGCCCTGAGCTGATCTCAGACAGGTCTCGTGTCTAGCCAGACTTAAGGACCAGCCCCCCAAGGAGGCAGAATGCACTGCTCAACTGACTCCAGGGGAAAGTTCTGCCCAGAAAGGGGCTGGGTTTGTTACGTCCACCCTGAAGGGCTGTGACAAAGATCCTGCAACAAACAGGGCCTCGCCAAGACAAAGTTCATGTATCACTTGGGCAAGCTGGTGACTCAGGGCTGGCAGGTGGCTCCACCATCCTCTACCTGGGACTCCACGGCAATTTCTCCACGACCTGGTGTTCCAGCCAGGGGACACTTACATCCCCAGAGGCGTGTGTTGGAGAAGGCATACAACGTGTTCTCTTGAGTCCTGTTAGTCTGAACCTAATCGTGTGGCCTCCCCGAGGCTTGGGGGGCTGAGAAATACCCTGTCTAGCTGGCCTCAAGCACCAATGAATCTCTGTTCTTGTGGAAGACAGGGGGTGGCTTTGAAGGATGGTCTTTCCCCTTGATGAAGACCCGACTTGGGTGGATGGAAGTGCATGTGGTGACCGCATGCAGGACAATTTGGCCTGGAAAACATGACCAAGATCCAGCCTCCTCTGTCCGCAAAGGCAGAGGCTGAGGCCTGAGAGGAGAAACGCAGGCCTGGACAGCAGGTGTTCTCAGGGCCCATTTACACTTGTCATGCAGGCTGGCGGTGATAGCCCTTCCTGGTCTTTGAGGCTCCTGCCAGAGCTCCCTCATCCCTTTGCTTGCCACAACACCCGAGGCCTAGCAATGTCCTAAGCTTTAAGGGACAGAGTTCCAGTCTCTAGAGGTCTTTATGGACCAAGGAATGCAGAGCGCCAGGCTCTGCATGGCTTTCTTGTGGGTGGTCAGCCTTTTTGTCCCTCTGTCTCTCCTGTCTGCGGACTTAAGGCCAGTTGTTTCACTGCCTCGCATTTTGGTGAGTGTCCCAATCACAAAATGAGGACAATCTCTCCTGCCTGACTCCCCAAGGAAAGTCAGCAACAAAATGCTTCCTCTGCGTTGGGTGTCTACGGTCTCGCAGTCTAATAAATGCCGGGCGGGTCAGTGGGTGAGTGCGCTTGCATGAGTGAATTAATGCTTTTGCCTCGGCCAGTGAAGATGGCAATACTGATCCCCCATCCTAGGACATATGTGAGGGGCATCAAAGATGTGTCCCTCCAGCAAAGGAGGACTTGCTCTGGCATCCTGGGCCAGGAAAGGCCCAGTCATGGCGGCCCCAGACTCCCTTCCCCTGAGCTCGCTCCCCAAGCTCTTCCTGGGATTCTCAGTGGAGACAGTACCCATACCACAGCATATGGACACTGTTCCACAGCTGTCCCGCCCCAGAGGTAGACAGTCCACAGATTGCAGATGGGTTTCACCTTGCATGCCGCCTCTGATGGGTTGGCCATCCTACCTGGGTGACTGTGCCAATGAACCCTTGGCTCTGCTTCTGGGTGTGGGGAAGAGAGCTGGGACCCATGCATGCTATCTGTTCTGGGCAGGGGTGAGGGAGTCATGGCACCCCCGTGACGTAGTGGACACGGCCCTTTCTATACACCAAGATAGCCTGTGCTTCTTCTCTGAACACGGGGAAAGAGACTCGTGTCCCCAGAGGTCCAGATGATTGTGCAGCCTGAGTCCCTGCTGAGGCTGGGTGCGGGGACGACAGGCACCAGGCTGTGAGCCGCTGTGTGAACACCCAGGGAGGCGGAGGGGAGTGAGGGGGGTGAAGTGTGGGCCCAGCTTCTGTGTGAGCCCCTGCTGATTCTACTACAGCCCAGACGTGTGCGCCCCGCAGTGTACACTTGAGGTTGCTTTTATAATGTACTGAGTGGTCAGAACAGACCCCTCCACTGTGGAGACAGGTGATAAGACCGCATGTCCCATGTGGTCCCTCCTGCCCTGCCATGCTGTGTGGCGGACGCTTCCTAGAATGTGCTCTCAGGAGCTCGAGCAGGACATGCTGTGAAAATGGGTTTCCAAGTACATTTGAAAATGCAGCTCCCGTGTCCCCTTCCTGGCACTGCACAGGGCATGTTAGCATCTTAAAGGCTCCAGGGAGGCCTGTGGTAACGACACAAACACTGCTTGGCTTCACGTGCCATTAGCCACGTGACCACTTTTTGAGTCATAATTATGAGCAGCCACTGGAACCCACATTCCAGAGAAACACCCAAGGAAACCATTGCAGGGAAGACACCCGGGTCCCTTCTTGCCCAGCAGCCCCCTCCTGAGAGCTGACCCAGGCCAGGAGCGTGGTCAGCAGCTGGGGAGGGAAGTACGTGGGTGGCCTACTCCCCACTCACATGGAGCCATGGCCTTGCCTCGAAGGTGACCCCTGTGCCAAGGCCCGTGTGGTTACCAAAAGGTTACTGTCACAACGGAGGGACACCCAGGCCCAGGTTAGAGACACCCCCTTCAGAGCAAGGAGGTGGCAGCTCTGAGCTGCAAATGCTGAGTTTCGAGCAGCCTGTCAGGGAAGTATCTTCTCTGTTCGCCCTTCTCAACGGGGCACAGACAGGAAGACAGATGGAATGGACATTGGTTACCACGTGCCACGCCCGTGATGACTCCCTGGTGGAGGGTGCATGGTCTTCTGCCTCATTCAGGCCTGTTTCAGTCCCTCCAACCGCAGGCCGCCTCTCCCCCCATGCCCAACAGAGCCCTGACTCTGTGGGGGCGCTAAGGGTAGCTTATTAAGCGCTTTGGGCCACCAGGTGGCCATGTCCCACGTCCCTACCTCCTTAGCTCCGCCAGGTGCTGGCAGTAGCAATAACCCGTGGGCAAGTCCTTAGAGTGCCGGGGGTGGGGCAGGGGGAGCCAAGGTTTATGCTAGGAGTCCCCCAGAGGGCATGGGAAGCCAGAGCCCCACCCTCAGCAGGGCTGGCCAGGAATGGGCAGACACGGCCAGTCATGGACAAGAGCCTGAGCCACCAGTGTCCAGGCCCTAGCATGGCGGTGCTGCTTCTTGGCAACAGTGCCCTGTTGGTGACCCAGGGCCTCAGGCAGGTGACTCAAGGGTCCCATTCAAGGTCAACGTCACAGCCGCACCGGAGAATGAGCCTTTATTCACGTCCAGTTCCAAGATGAAGAGCCTGGACTTCGAGACTGACTCTGGCTGGGGTCGGAATTCTGCCGCTTACTCTGTGGTCTTGGGAAGATGGCTTGCCCTCTCTGGTGCTGTTTCCTCTTCTGCAAGCCGGGACTCTATAAACATCTACCTCTGCGAATGGGAGGTCAGGGCACATGTAAGCCAGCACCTGGCTCTAAGTGCTGGCCCACACGCGGTTCTCTTCCACGCAGTGATCTTCTGTCCTGTTCGAGATTCTTTCCATCTCCTCTGACCAAGGATCATTGAACAATTCCACCCCTGTCCTCACCCTCTGGGCCTCTGTCTCCACAGACAACATTAGCACAGATCAGTATCACAGCTACAGTTAAATCGTGTTTTAATTCTTCTCCCAGGCTGAGACGCCTGGCTCCCCGCACAGAGGCTCAAGGGCTTGCGGCTGTGTGATTGTTACCTTCCCCAAGTCCCACCTGCTGGCTTCAGGGGTGGGAGGCAGGGAGGAGGGTGGAGGAGGGAGGGAGAGAGGGAGGGAGGGAGGAAATTAAGGCCACTGTAGGTCGCTGGTCACTGGGCTCTCAGACAGAGCTGTCTGGCCAGCACGCCCTGCAGGTGGGGAGGGCCGGCCTGGGCTCCCTCTTCTTCCAGGCTGCCTCAGGCCTGCTCAATCAGCCTCCACCCTCCTGGCTCACAGTAACGAGTCTCTGGGGGTGGAGGAGGGGCTGTGTCTTGGGGTGGGGATGCTTCTTAGAGAGGCCTCTCCTCCCAGCCCCAGGCCACACCCAGCCCCCCTGGGATGACAAAGCCGCCTGCCCTTGTGGGTGTGTGTGTGTGTGTGTGTGTGTGTGTGTGTGTGTGTGTGTTAGGGGAGGGTGTTAGGGGAGGCTGTTAGGGGAGGCTGTTAGGGGAGGGTGGGCCCTTCCTACTCCATCTCACTCCGGCAGCACAGAGGCATCGATTTTCTTCCTTCCGGATTCTCCCTGCTGCAGCCCAGTGAGGTCGGAAGTAGGATGAGTCCTCAGAGGCGAAGGCGTCCGGTTCACACCTGCTGACCTCTGCCGGAGAGTGCCAGCGCTGCCTTTTCTGTCCTCGCAGGTTCAGTCCCGGCAGGGCTGGGAAGACATCATCTGCCTGTGGAACCCCTGGGGCCCGGGCAACAGCGGGATCAGCACCGAATGGAGAGGGCGCTGGAGTGACGGGTATGACTTCCAGAAGCTTCTCTCCCCCCGCACGGGAGCCCTGGTGGAGAGCATGCCTGCCCCTGGGGCTGTGGCTGTCTTATGCACTGTGGCTCTCGCCTTTGGCCGGTCCGGTTCACACCTATGTATGTCTGTCGGTCCCCCTTGCACTTCCATGATGCTGTTCGCCAGGCATCTTCTTGGCACCGACTGTGTACACTCTGTACTGACTGCACCATGTTGGGCGGGTGCTGTGGGGTATATACCAATGACAAGACCTCCAGAAGGCTGCAGGCTAGAAGTGGGAGCCCACACACCCAGAATTAGTAAAAGTGGGGCAAGCAGGGCAGGAGCCAAGCCCCCACTTGGCAAGAGAGAGTGATGGAGAAGAGGGAACCGCATCCCTCGGAGGGACCCCGTGGGATTCTGATCCTGAAAATGTCATGCCATCAGCATGGTGAAGACCTCCTATCTGGGGGCAGTTGGGCACCTGCCTGGCACATAGCAGGAAGGCATGGAGCTAGGTGGGTCTCAGAGGCTCCAGCCAGCATGTCCCACGGGGACCCAGTGGTGTGGTCAGTGCTTTGCCGGGAAGCTGGGCAGCATTTTCAGCTGCCAGAGGGACAGGACCTGGCTGTCAGTGACGGAGAGGGTGGTCCAGAGAGGACAGGGGGTGGCAGCCGGGTCCTTGCTCCTCTGGGCAGCCAGCACGGTCCAGCCGTGGTGTCCCTAAGGGCCTGTGTGGCTCCATGGGAAGTGGTGACTTGGCGGCCACAGCAGTGTCACTGGCAGCGTGCGGGTGGGGACATGACCTGAAAGGTAATGCTACACTCAGACACACGGGCGACTGGCCCAGCACACCGTGAAAATCAATAGTGCGAGGATGCTGAGTGGAGGCGGACACAGAGCCCAACTCAGGGCTGCCCAGACCTGGCTCCTGCCAGGCTGTGGCAGGATGCACAATCCCCCGTGGGCCTGGCATATGTGGGCGCCCAGCAGATGTGGGATGGGTGTAGGATGGGGTAGAGGGAGGGAGGCAGGGAGGAGAGGAGGAAGGGAACTGAGGAACCACCGCAGACTCACCTGGCTGTGACCTCAGAGGCACTGAGAACAGGGAGCTGAGGCCACTTGAGGGACAAACTGGCAGAAGCTTAACTTGTCAACCTGAACAGGGTCTTCCCTCACTGTCTCCCTCTCCTCTCTGTCCCTTCCCAGGGGAGCCCTTTGCCTCTCAGCACAAACCCTTGACACTCCTGGACTTTTCAGTTCTCCTCCTTCCCAGTCTCTGCCACTCATGGCCCAGACAGTGGCGGGATGAGCTGGAACCCCAATTTGGGGTTGCCCGTTGGGGTAGGAGCAGAGACAAGATGATGACACTGATAGGACCCAAGGTGGGCGCACAGGCAGCACGCTCACCAGTGGAGACGCCGCACCGTCTCCCCACTGTCAGGTGGCCAGTGAAGGTGGAAGGTGGTGGCAAGGACGCCAGAGCCCAGGGAAGGGCATCCCAAGGCTGGCGTGGCCAGGGAGCACTTTGAGGGTGGGGGGGTGAGCTGGTCCTGCGGGGAAAGAGGGTGGCGGGCTTCAGATGACTGGGTAGGAGGGGATGTGTCCACCATGGGACAGGGCCAGCAAGGCAGTTCAGGGTCAACAAGCCTGCCTGGACGGAGGAAGCCGGGAGAGAAATTGTGGGCACTTGGGCTGGAAGCCAGTGCCAGCTGGGAAGATTGGATATATCCTACAAGCACAGGCACTCATGAAAGCTTTTTTGTTTTTTGAGTCAGGGTCTTACTCCGTCACCCAGCCTCAACCTCCTGGGCTCAGGCGATCCTTCCACCTCAGTCTCCAAGTAGGTGGGACTACAGGTATGCCACCACGCCCACATAATTTTTCTATTTTTGTAGAGATGAAGCCTCACTTTGTTGCCCGGGCTGGTCCCAAACCCCTGGACTCAAGCCATCCTCCTGCCTCAGCATCCCAAAGGGCTGGGATTATAGGCATTGAGTCATCATGCCCGGCCTCACCAATGTAGGCTTTTGAACAGGGATGATGTGTGCAGGAGGGTGGGTCCGTCAGCCCCTGCTCTGTGGGGTCCCACACTTGATGCTGCTGGGCACTAGGGTCACCCACGTCCCCCCAGAAGCCCCGCGGGAAGGAAGGAGTAGGGCCGGCATAGCCGCTGTCTCCATGCAGGTGTCGATGTCTTCCCCGCCTCTTAGGAATGGAGATGGATGGAGCCAGGCGGATGGTTTCATCTCGGCCGTAATTGAAATTTCAGTCGCACACACTTAAAGGCAAACTTGCATGAATCGATAGCATATTGATTTACACTACATTTATTTTCCCTTACACGCTGCAGAAAATGTAATTATCGCTTAATTATAAAATTGCTGCTCTACAATAACACATCTGACTGCCTCAGCCCCACTGCCGGAAGCCTGAGGGGGGTCGCTGCCATGCTGTCCTGGCAGAGGGGACCCCGGCTCCCCATGCCGGCCTCTCGAAGAGAAGGGTCTTTTGTGCTATGGGAGCTGAACAGGCCTCTACTCTCCGGGGGGGGGGAGAGGACCAGCACCCCCCCGGGGGGTCTCCCCAGGGCTGCCTGTAGAGCACATCATGAAGGGGACACATTCGTGAATTAATTAGGAAGGCAAGCAAAAGACCACCAAGTGTGGCCACGTGCCCAGGCCTGGGGGAGACAGGATGACGGATGCCGCCAAGGCTCCTGGCTTTCAAGGCATCTGTGTCTGGTTAGGGATGGCGACCCAGGCACAAGCCGTCGTCCCCCCAGCTGCTGAGACAGGAGCAGCACAGTGGCCAGGGGAGCTCAGATGACATGGACCAATGGGAATAGGGGGCCAAACACGGGTCCTTCAGGAGGAAAGATGCGGGGGACGTTCCAGGTGGGGGAGCTTCGGGGTGAAGGGTGGCCGGAGAGGCAGGTGTTTGTCAGGAAATGAAGACACCGTTGTTGCTGGAGTGTAGAGGTCAAGGGTCGGGTGGGTGGGGAGGTAGGAGCTGGTGCAGGAGAGACAGCAAGGTTCCTTTAAGGCGTCTGAACTTCACCTTGAGAAACAGGGAACCCAGAGTGCGTGTTGAGCAGGGAAAAAACGTCACCAGCTTCATGTTTTAGAAAGGTCACTGTGGCAGCCATGGAGAAAGGACAGGTGGGTGGGTGGGGTGGAGGTCAGGGAGGCCAGTGAGATGCCCCGAGGGAGGCCAGGGGACCACAGCAGGGGCAGAAACAAGCGATGACTGTGAGGGGGTTGGGAAGGGCATCAACTGGCAAATGTGTGATGACTGCCTGGCCACGGGCATAGAGAGGGAGTCCCCATGGCTCAGAGAGCAGAGAGCAGGCACGTCAGGACCAGGAGGGACCGAGAAGAGATGTGGGGTAAACTGGAAAGTACAGCCACCTCGCACTCAGGACAGGGACCAGCGGGGACAGCATCCAGAGAGGGATGTGTCCCGCCCCAGGTGCAAGGGCTCTGGGGAGGGTCCTGGTGGGCCACAGGGCTGAGATGCAATGCTCAGGGCAGTCTCACCAGTAGCTTGTGTCTCCACGCACAGGTCTCGGGAGTGGCAGGAGACCCGTGACCCACGCAAGAGCCAGCTGTATGAGGACAAGAAAGATGGCGAGTTCTGGTACTTATCCTGCTCCAAAAATGGTGCTTGGGGGTTCACCTGCTGCCCCCCAGCCCTCAGTCCCACCCCCTTCTCTAAACTTTTACAAGGAAGCAAGTTAGCTCTACAGAGCTTTTTTTTCTCTATTTTTTCTACCAAGACACAAAAAGTTTGCATGGGAAATCCTGGCGTGCCCCCACTTTGTGGGAAAGTTATTTCAGTGACGAAATGTTGAACTCTCCGGGTCTTTTTAACGGTAAAGGGGAAAGTCGGCACCCAGGATTTGAAATCCACAGCCTCCCCGACAGGCCTGTGTCTTCTGTGCCATCTTACTGGGAGCCTGGATCTCCCCGTCCCCCCACTGTGGTCCCCAAGCGACACTCACGTCCTAGAGTCATGAGTGAGATGCCAGCGTCAGCACCCAGAAGCCATGCAGGACTTGGTGTTTTAAAGGCATTCTCAGCACTTCTCAGAGGGCCATCTGGTCTACCAAATGACATATTTAAATTAAATGTAGCACTTGTGGAGAAGAGTAATCATCAGAGGGACCAATGTAAAGTGGAAGGAAAATGGCCCAGCACCCCACTTTTGTCCCGGGGGGGGTTCCGGATCCGTGCTATTCTGATAAAGACCTCAGCAAGGAGTTTGGCAGAGGGTCCCAGGCGAGCACCCAGCTGCTTGGAGGAGCCAAGGTAGAGAGAGACTGAGGTTGGCCCAACAGCCACAGACCGGCTCGCCGTTGGGGCCAGGGCCAAGGACACCGTGGTTAGTGACAAAGCTCCTGCCAGGTGATGCAGAGCCCAGAACTTGATTCTGTCCTGCCCTCCCCACCGTGAGGGTTGGGACTGAACACACCCCAAGGTGCTTGTCATGAAGGAGCCGAGTAGGTCAGATGCTGGTGTTTGGCAGGATAGGAGTTCGGTCACTTTAGCTGACACCAAAGTGATGGGCCTCTACCCTGGGGATACAGAGCAGTCGTCTAGTGATGCGTGTCTGCTTTTCACAGGATGTCATGTCAAGATTTCCAAGAGAACTTCTCCTCCCTGGTCGTGTGCAGCGAAATCCCCATCACCCTGGACCACGGAAACACGCTCCACGAGAGATGGTCCCAGGTGGAGTTTAAGAACCAAGTGGTTCTCGGCCAGGCCACAGGTAGATAAACATGCCTACCTGAATGCTTTCAGCCCGGCCCAGCCCCGGCTTCTGCTGTCTCTGGCCCTTGAGTCTGACCACCAGCCTGAAGCTGAAGGTAGGGGAGTTTTTCAGCCCAAAGTGTCAGTTGCACAAGGGGCAGCGTCTCCAAGGAGAATGATGCTGGTGGGCGGCAGGAGCCTCCGACGTGACCCCAGCCCTCCATGCTGTCCCAGCATCCTCCTCCTCACCTCCTCCCGCCTCCTGGGGTGGAGTGGGCTGTGGAAGGACCCGGGATCAAGTCAGGGCTGAGACCGAACCCTTGTCTTTGCCCCATACTAGCCTGGGACCTGGAAATGTAATGTGCTGCCTGTCCTCAGCCTCCCCCAACTACAAACAGTGGAATGAGTGCCCCCCGCTGCCTCTTAAGCCCACAGAGAGCCACCCACACATAAGAGGACCACCCTGCCCTGTCTCAGCTGGCGTTTCCCACAGAGGTGTCCCAGGCAGCTGCTTCTGAGCCCGTCTGTGCCACTCCGGGGAGATGAATCTCGTTGATCATGACCTTGGAAGGGTCCCACTCCCTCACCGCTCTCCCCCCCTGACCCCATTGGCTATTTATGACACTGATGGGTGAAACAGCTCCTTGTGACAGTGAACCTGAGTGTTCAAGTCCTTGAACCAGACTGTGTAACAGCGTGTGTGTGTGTGTGTGTGTGTGTTGTGTGTGTGTGTGTGTGTGTGTGTGCATATAACCCGAGGTATGCACTCCTCCCTGGGCAGCTATCCATCGGCTGGCATCCTTTTTTTCGAGCTCCAGGCTCTAATGCTGTAGATGGAATGACTTGTCCAAGGGGCAGCTAGGCGGTGATGGGGAGCATTTGGTTCCAGGATTTGGGGTCCCAGGTCCAGGGTGCTTGGCAGGGCTTAGGTGTGTGCCTTGCTGGTGGTCAAAGCACCTCCTTGCCAGGAGGCCATACATGGGCACTGAGAGCAGGTCGCCCTGGGAGCAGGGCCGCCGGTCCCCCTTCTGGGTTACCTCCCTGACTGGGGCCCAGCCCTCTCCCAGGCGAAAGGCACGTCAGTGACCTAACCAACCCGGCATGTAGGGCCCTTCCTAGGACCTTACAGGGAGAGTGGAAGAGAGGCAGTCATCCAGAGCCCACTGCAAGCAGGTGGGCACCCTCGAGCACACCGTCTTCATCTGTCCTCACAGCAAGCCTGTGATGTGACGGTCCCCTGTGTCCCCACTCCCCTTCAGGGCTCCCGGTGTGAGCCAAACTTTCTGATGTGTAGCAATTCACCCCATCTTGACTCACCTTCATTCTCTCATGCATTCGGGTCTAACGGTGTTCACATCGGTTTCTCTCTCATTCTACTTGGATGCAATGTGTGGTTGGAAGCACGCTGTGAGTTGTAGCCCCCTGCCTGTCATCCTGTCTCCAGAGACGCCAGGGTGACTGATGCCATTTCAAGACTCTGCCAGTATCATCAATGCATAAGCTCATGCATACCTGCAGACTCTGGAATTTCACTTATTCTTGTAAAATTAAGATGGTGCAGTGCCTCATGCTTATAATCCCAGGATTTGGGAGGCTGAGGCAGGAGGATCACTTGAGACCAGGAGTTCAAGACCAGTCTGGGCAACCTAGCAAGACCCTATCTCTACAAAAAAACTTAAAAATTAGCCGGGTGCGGTGGGCACACCTGTTACTTGAGAGGCTGAAGTGGGAGGATTACCTGAGCCCTGAAGGTCGAGGTTGCAGTGACCCATGATTGCACCACTGTACTCCAGACTGAGCAAGACCTTACCTCTTAAAAAAAAAAAAAAAAAACTCTTGATTTTACAGTTTGAGAGACATTTTCACTGTTTTTAAGAGGAAGAGACTGAGGCTTAGAAAGTAGAGAAACTTGAACTAGTGGCTACGGGGATGGGACCCAGGCCTCAGGTCTCTGGTCCAGAATTCCTAGCACAACCCTGCAGGCCTCCTGACTGAGAGCCCTGGGGTGGAGCTACACCAGATAACAGCACTTTTTCACGCAGGGCGACCACAGGACGGCACGCAGTACTTCTTCTCCATGCGAGAGCAGGCAGAAGGCACCAATGCCATCGTCTCCTTCACGGTCGCCAGCACGCCGCCCAGTCAGAAGGCAGAAAATATGAAGTTTCCACTGATCTTCCAGGTGTTCAAGGTAAGACCGCCCCCTCATGCATGCCCACTGGGGGCATTCATGTAAACGGCGGGTTGGGGTGAGCGCTGGCCAGGCTGGGAGGCTTGACTTCCCAGCAGCCTTTGAGAGAAAGCCCAAAGGGGCCACTGCACTCTCTCGTCCACATCCCTGAGAGGCGGAGGAGATGGGACTCGATCGTGTTTGCAGTGAGACTTGCCTCTTGTCACTTGCGGGCCTCTCCCAGATGCTGCAAGGATCGAACACTTGCCACTCAAAAAGCCAAGACCAGCTGTTGTGGCAATGCAGGTTCCTGGGCCCATCCCAGCCCTGACCAGGCCTTCCCCTCCACGTGGGGTCCTCTCTCCCTTCTTGGCTCTCCCAAAAGCTGCTCGGACCCAGAGCCACCCCCCACCATGCTATTCCCCCACCACCTGAGAGTTGCTAATGGTGCAGTGCCTCATGCTTTCAATTCCTGGACTTTGGGAGTCCAAGGAGGGAGACTCACTTGAGGCCAGGAGTTCAAGATCAGCCTGGGCAACATAGCAAGACCCTATCTCTACAAAGTCAACTTTTTTTTTTGAAGAGACAGGAATGCAGTCGTGCAATCATGCCTCACTGCAGCTTTGACCTTCTGGGCTCAGGGGATTCTCCTGCTCACTGCAGCCTCAACCTCAGCCTGGGCTCACTGATCCTTCTGCTGCAGCCTCCCGAGTAGCTGAAACTACAGGTGTGCCCACCACACCTGGCTAACGAATGAATTCCTAGGGAATTCATTTTGTGAACTACCATGTAAAACAAAAAAACCGCAGGGCACAGTGGCTCACGCCCATAATCCCAGCACTTTGGGAGGCTGAGGCAGGAGGATGGCTTGAGCCTAGGAGTTCAAAATCAGTCTGGGCAACATAGCAAAACCTCGTCTCTACAAAAATTAAAGAAAACAAAATTTAGCCAAGCATGGCGATGTGCACCTGTAGTCCCAGCTACTCTGGAGGCTGCAGCAGAAGGACCAGCTGAGCCCAGGCTGAGGTTGAGGCTGCGGTGAGCTGTGACTGTGCCTTTGTACTCCAGCCTGGGTGACAGAGTGAGACCCTGACTCAAAAAGTAAATAAATACATCAAAATTAAACAAATAAAAACCTATAGAAGAAGACCTGATGTCTCCACTCCCTCTTCCTCCCCCCAAAATTCAACGCATCCCAAGGATAAAGTGATGGCCCTCAGGTCACACACTGGCCGCCTCGCTGTACCAGTGGGGATAATCTAGGTCATGCCCGTCATGTGCTGGGACCCTTTCCTCACATTAAGTTGAATACACTGAGTGCCAGGGAGGTAATGTGGCTTGACCAAAGTCCCTGGCAGATCTGGGATGGGATACTGGCAACCCCGCAGCATGGCTGGGACAAGCTGCCAGGGACTCCCAAGCCTTTGGTCAGACACACGTCACAGGCCAGGAGCCTCCGTTCTTTCTGGGCCTTTCCCAAATCCCTCCCTCTGGCTCCAGCCTTTTGTTCTTCTCTGAGGTGAAAGTTGGGGGCTCTGAGGATGGGTCCTCCTGGAAAAGCAGCAAGAATTCTTGGCAAAGTCTACGGAAACTAACAAGGCTGGGATGGGCTGAAAGGCATTACTTGGATCAGTCACAGACATGGGGTGCTCAGACAGTGCATTCAAAAGATGGGATACCCAGACAGTGCATTCACAGAGATGAGGTATCCGGGCAGTGCATACACAAAGATGGGGTGCCCAGACAGTGCATTCAAAAGATGGGGTTCCCAGATGGTGCATTCACAAAGACAGAGTGTCCAGACAGTGCAGGGGGGCAGGTGGACAGGAGGCAGTCAAGGAGGAGCTGTGGCCCCTGGTGCATCTAGCCAGGACTGAGCAGGGCAAGCACTCATCAGGCCTCAGCATCCAGGCCAAGTCCTCCTTTTCCTGAGGCAAGGCAGATGCTTGTGAGGCCATCAGGCTGCCGCAGCACACGCTTCTGGGATCTGTTCACACGTGAGTCTGGCGCCCCAGGCCTGGTGCCCCTCTCCCTGCACCCCCACTTGGTGGAAGAAGCACTCGGACCCAGTATCCTCAGGCACCCCCAGGCCCCAGCAGAGGCTGCAGGACCCTGCTTGAGTGAAACGCCACACCACAGGCCAGACCTTGACAACCCAGAAGACGCTTGGCTTCCCTCCACGTTTGGGCCAAGAAACAGGCAGCCAGCCTCTCGGGAGTCTCTGGCGCCTTCGTGGCACCTGTGGTCAGCCTGCTGACCCCATTGATGGAAGCCCGTGAGCCCCCCAGTGCTATGGGAGACCTGCCTGGCTCTCTGTCAAGCTGCACATCGGTGGTATGTGAATAGGCAGGCAGGGACAGGACAATGGACAGGCCCAGGAGGACAAGCTGTGTCCTCTGCCCCCAGCATTCCTCCACTGGGCCTTCCACCACCCTCCCAGTCACCCTTGACCTCCAAGGAGTTGGCCTGGGCTGAGCGGGTATCTGTACACATAGGTATGGCCCGGGGCCAACAGCAGAAACCGGTGCCCGCTGGTGGGGCTTGATGGCAAAGGGGCCACACAGCTTGCTCTGTTCCCAATTCTTCCACTTAAACAGCTAAGCCTCTGTTCCCATGTTCATAAAACAGGGTGCTTGGCATCCGCCTGCAGGACCCTCGTGAACACCCAGCACATGACACAGACGTGCTTTGCAAACTGTAATGTGGCTTAAAGATGGAACCATCCTCAGGGCTTCCCGCTACCTCATGGAAAGAACTGGAGCAGGACTTCCCTGGTGCACACGTGCATTCTTCCAGGCGCCGGGGTGGTGGTCTTCACACACATCCCTTCATTCACAGTGTCTGATGGAATATAAGAAGTCCTGATGTGAGGGAGCCCACCCTGTTGCAGGTGCTGTCTGAGTTCAGACCCTGTCCTGTCTCCTTTTCCCTTTTCATGTGACCCTCCTGCCTTGAACGGGAGCCACAACTTGCTGAGCTGACAGAGGCCACACCTTCCTTCTGCCTCAGTTTCCCTCCCTTTGCCGCTAAATAGAATAGATTTCCTTTTTCACAACCCGGCACAGGAGAGGAGCAATTGTCCAGTCACCTGAGTGTACCAGGGACAGGCTGGCCACACAAGGGGTACTATGGGACCGAGCCAGGCTGCTCGGGCCTCCTCACCTGTTTGCTTGGGTTCTGGTTCCTGACTATGCCTTTCTCCTCCTCCCTACAGGTGGACTCCCAGGTATGGTTCCTGCCCCCTCGCTGGTTTCCCAGCCTCCGCAGTCGGCCACTGGGGAAGTGTTAGGCCTCTCCCGCAGCATGGCTGTCAGGTGCTCAGAGGCCTCACACTCTGCCTCGATGGGTCTTGCATCCAACGCAAGCCAGAGTCTCCGAGCAGGTCAACAGTGGGGAAACCTTTAACCGTCCTGGTGGGAAGGCTGGACCCTTGGGGCTGTTCCTGTCAACATCCTCTTGCCTGTGGCCTATGGCCCCTGACAGAACAGAGGAGCATGGCCGGTTCCTTCTTATTTAAGATGAAGGCAGCACTAAGGGGTACCTGGGAGGGCTCTTCAGCCTCTGGGATCAGTCTACCCCCAAATCCACCACAAACAGGAGGCCTGCTTCCGAGTGCAGCTTCCAGGCACATCCACGAGCCGACTGCCAGCCTGCAGGATGTGGCCAGGGCCAACAGAGGGAGGTGGCAGCACCCCCAGGCCCTCCAGGGGCCCCAGTAGGTAGACAGGGGCAGGGCAGCGAGTCTCGGAGCAGGGCATACACAGACATCCAGGCCGAAAGCTACCGGCAAGCAGGCCTGTCTGGGAGCGCAGCAGCCTGGCCAGAGCTGGGGTTAGGACCTGGCTCTGGTTCCTGGCACCCCAGCCACGGACTGGACCGCTTGGGAGGGCATTGATGGAAGCATTCAGGGGGTTAGCGTCTCGGGTCCCAGAGCCAGAGCAGAGGGTGGACTCAACCCACGAAAAGGCACAGACCTCATCCTCAGGACTATAGTCAGGGCCGGGCTCAACTCACCCTGGGCTCATCTGAGGCTGACACCGGACCCTCTGAGCCCGGGACCAAGACCTCCCGCCCCTCTTCCACACTCACCCTCCCCCTGGGTCCTCTAAGCCCAGGACCAAGACCCTCTGTCTCTCCCCCACACTCCTCCCCCCAACCCTGTTCCTTGGGCAAGAGACCCAGCCCTCACTCCCCTCCTGCCAGGGGGCAAGTCTGAAGGATCAGGAACCTGAACTGGGCTGCAAGGGGACAATAGAGGGAGGAGAGAGGGATATGGGTAAGCAGGGAGGCCCTGACCCTCTAGAGTATAAGAGGCACGTGGCCCACACACCTCTGCACACACACGGCCTGCCAAGTGCACACACCTATGTGCACACACGCACACACACATGCATGCCCAGAGCCACAAGACATGGCCACAGGACATGGCTCTGGAAAGCTGATTCCACCACTGCTTTTTCCAGAAGGGCCCACGCCGGTCAGGCTCCAAGCCTGCTGGGCTCTCGGTGTCAGCAGAAATGCTCTGGAGGGGCACCTCCAAGGCCCGGCCCCATTCCCGGGACAGTGGCCTCTCCCCTGTCTCACCCTGGAGTCCAGCCCTGTTCTGGCCCCCGGTTCTCCCCCAAGGCTCCTGCATGGCCGTTCCCCATTACAGAACCTCAGAACAACCATTCTGAAGGCGTCCCCATGCTGGCTGCCGAGGGGAATGTGTTTAGCAAGGGGTTTTTATTATGTTATGTGTATGTGACATCTGATAATAGGAGCTGCATTATATTTATTGTTCTATCTCCAAGAAAGTATTGAAATAAAAGGAAAATGGTCAGGGCCTATTATTCTCTAGTAAGAAGGAATCCAGGAGCATCCCTGGAGAGATGAAACAGAGGAAACAGGCAGAATTCAGTTCGGGAGCATGACAACAAGCCAGAGGGCTTGCCACGCACTCAGCAGAGAAGGGGCCTGCGGGGCCCGGCAGAAAATCAGAGCTGAGACCATGTCGCCAGGTTCCGTGGAAGTCTTCCCTCTGCGTGAGCAGAGAGAGAAGACCCAGAAACCCAGGATGATGTCAGACTTAATGAGACTTTGGTCAAGGCAGTGTCCAGGGCCTAGATGAAATTGGTCCAAACCCTGTGCCTTCCGGAGTTCCAGTGGGTGCCGCCTCCCTTTCAGGGTCTGAGATGCTGTCCTGGTGACAGAGAGGGCCTAGGAGGCGGTGGGTGGTGAGTCTCTCATGGGGGGTGGGGGTCCCCCTCATGACGGGGCTTTCTCACCATGACTGTCTTTCTTCCAGTTCCAGAAGTTCCAGAAGCTGCCGCCCACGTTTTTTTCCCTGTTCAGAAATGCTGTCCAGGGTATAGACCATGAATCCAAGCGCAACTTCACCAGGTCCTTCCATCTGAGCCCCGGGACCTACGTCGTGGTCGCTTGGGCACGGAGAGAAACCACCCAGTTCTTGCTCCGGATCTTCCTGAAAATGCCAGACGGGGAGAGGTACATAGCCCTCCGGGGTCCTGGGTGTGTCCCTCCCTTGATCTAATAACCAGGCACGTGCCATGGTATGCAGTGCTCCATGCATAGCATGCCACTGTGCCGTGTCCAAGAGAGAGACACAGGATAGGCCCTGCTCTCAGGTATCTCCCCGGCCCTACCCACCCCCTGGGGGGGCAAGGGTCCAAACCAGGAACTAACCACAGGCAGGATGGGGTCACTGGCAAGACTGAGGGCCAGGTGGACCGAGGAAAGCCTCTCGGAGGAACTAGCACTTGGGTTTAGAGAGGAAGACCCAGTAGGTGGAGAGAAAAAGCATGACAGCCACGGGGAAATGGGTGAGCCCATCACTGGTTGGAACATTGGTGGTGCTGGTGCAGGAAGGTGGCACTGGGCCAGCCTGTCACATTGTCTGAAATGTGGCTTGAAGGCGGGAGATAGCAGAGAGATGGTGGAAGGTGGGCCTGAGAGACAGAGTCTGATGGGAGAAGGCCCTGAATGCCAAGTCAGTGGGTCAAGACCAGGATCAACAAGTGCTCAATTCACCTGGCACAGTGACTCATACTTATAATCCCAGTATTTGGGGAGGCCGAGGTGGGAGAATGGCTTAAACCCAAGAGTTAGAGACCAGCCTGGGCATCTTCGAGTCCTCATTCCTATAAAAATTAAGAAAATTAGCTAGAAGTGGTGGCACATGCCTGTGGTCCCAGCTACTCAGGAGGCTGAGGCAGGAGGATTGCTTGAGCCCAGGAGTTCAAGGCTGCAGTGAGCCATGATTGCACCACTGCACTCCTTCCTGGGTAACAGAGTGAGACCCTGACTCCCCCGCAAAAAAAATACCCAAAACCCAAACACAAGTGCTCACCCACTGGGCATCACCACGGAGTATTTTCAGCAGAGTGCAGGGAAGGTCTTCTCAGTCCAACATGTTGGGTGGCATCATACCCTCCTAGAGGTGGACCACACAGCATCACCTATCTGTCATGCTGGTGATGAGGCCGCCTCACGTTGTATGTGGTTGTGAAGGAGTCATTGACTACACTTGGCGATCACACTGGGGCTACCCAGAAGGCCAGCCACGTGACCACAGCACTCGTCCATCCATGGACAGCCATGGATGTCACTTCATGTTCTGCGGGACTGAGGACGCCTCACTCAGGCCCTAGGCTTCTGCGTCCAGTGCCACCTGGGTGCCCTCCCTACACAGGCCCCTTAATGGTGGTCACTCTTGTCACACTGTCCCCTGATTTTCCAGGAGCCTGAGCGGCCATTTCAACCTTGAAGCACTGAAGGTAGGTGAGCAGCGAGGCGTGACTGGCCAGCTGCATCCTTTCCCCAGGAGCTGCTGGCCTCCCCACTCTCCGGTGAAAACAGAGACAACATGGTGGGCCAATGACACTCAGGGGTGGGGAGAAGACACTCAGAGGAGTGGGAGAAGGGAGAAGACCGGGCCTCGAAAGCCAGGCTCCAACCGGCCATCTTCCTTCCACCACCCTCAATTTTCTCATACCCCTAAAAGCTTTTTCCACCTGCCAGAGAAGGTTCTGGCCTCAGATCCACGTGGGGGCTTGTGGTCTCCTGTAGACAGGTGGCCTCCTTCCCCGAGGTCTGGCCCTGGCTGTTTTCCCTCGGTTGCAGGAAAGCCTTCCAGAACATGGCACCGCACACAGTGTGTTCTATAGATACGCCCAGCAGGTACAGTCTCTAGCGTGGCGAGAGACTCCCCGCCAGAACATGGGAGGGAGGGCCCGAGGGCGGGAGCCCCTCCCTGGCCTTGTTGGGATGTGGGGCGGGGAGGCGGCCTGTGAATGACACCCCCGCATCTCTCACTGGACGTCTCAGAGCTGTTCTGGCTGCCAGGCTCTGAGAGCAGTGCCCCTCACTCTCCAGTGCCATCCAGTGACACCTGGATGGAACGTGAAGCTTAGAAAGACAAGGGACAATTATGGGAGTGGTCTGCTTTTTAAATGTTTAAACAAGTCATTGGCAGCACCCCTGGAAATCATTCTTTCTCCCATGGGGCTGCCTCCCCAACCTGGCGTCACACGCACGGGCCCTGGCTGCCAAGCACCTGTGGCACATGGGATGCACTTGAGGGTTTAATAAACTGTCTGGAAGATCCCTGGATGCACCAGGATGGCACAGCCATCTGGGCCTGCATAGTGGGGTCTTTCCCCACTCCTACCCATGCCATGGGGGAAGTGGAAGGGCCACGGGTGACGGTAGGGACTGTGCCGCTCAGGCCAGGCTGAGGACCCGGCAGGAAGGATGCCAGGCCCTGTCTCTGCACACAGAGGGTCCGTGGGTGGTGGTCACGAGGAGGCAGCTGAGCCCAGGGGAAAGAGAGAGCAAACGTGAAGACAGGGACTAGAACAGGGGCTATGTATGAAGAGCAACTGAGCACGGACCCCCCGAAAAACCAGTGTCACCTGGATCCCCGCCCCCATCAGGCCGTTTGAGGCCATTCACTTGACCGGATGACATCCTCGGTCTGAGCTCCCCAGAGCAGGGAAGACACTTGTGCATCCTGGTCCCCAGCACAGACCCCCTGTCCTGGGCCCAGAGAGGGCACTCCGCCACCCCTGCTGAGCTGCATTAAGATGAATTCGCTCCCCTGGAGCAGATGCCCAAACCCTGCCCATGGCCAGAGCCTGATGAAGGTGCTGAGACCAAGCTTCTATCAGGGGCAGGTGGCAAGCTCTCACACGTGATCATGTGCCTGCACCTCCGAAATAAAAATGCCACTCGTCACACGGTCCCTTGGGACAGATCCCTAACCAGGCCTTTTCCAAAAGACCCAAATGCTTCCTTGTGGAGGGAACAGGGTCCAAAGGGGCCTTTGTGGTGACTAGAGTCAGACCCAGATGTGGCGCTGTGCCAGGTACATGACTAGGGGAAGGGAACGGAGACTGGATTCAGCCTCTCGTTGCCTCCCACCGGGCACCCCTGGACAGAGCCCGCCTGGCGTCATCCTACATGACCCGCAAGACTCCTCAGAGGCCGGGCATCTAAAGGAAGAGCAAAGCAAAATCCTTATCAGGCACTAGCCGTGTCTGCCACCTGTGCTCTTACAGAGTGTTCACTGGCTTTTACACACGCATGACCACTGCTGCTTCCACTGCTGCTGGCTGCCATAAGCCAGGCCTGCCTGTGAAAGAGAAAGGGTGCACTGGGACTCTGGGAGGGCCGGGTCTATCCACCCATCCATCATTTATTCAGTTGACAAGCACTTACCAAGCACGTAGGACCTTCCAAGTATCACACTGAGCTCTGGAATACGTAGGCACGGCCCTTGGCACCCTTACACGGTGGCCGTTGGCACCATTGCGTGGTGGCCCTTGGAATCATGTGGCGGCCCTTGGTGCCACTGCATGATAGCCCTTGGCATCATTACATGGTGGCCCTTGGGACCATGTGGTGGCCCTTGAGACCTTACATCGTGGTGGTCACGGCAGACAGGGGCTTCTTGGGAGCGTGTTTGAGCAACCCGTCTCCACTCCTGCCCTCATCTCTTCCACCCTTTCGGCTGGTTGTGGAGCGCAGGGTGCGGGCCAGGGTCTGTCCAGGCATGGGACATGGCAGAGGAGGAAGACACAGCCCACGCCCCGGAACTGCTGGTCAGCTCGGGCTGATTCCATGGGCACCAGCATGTTCACGCTTGTGTCAACTGCTGCTCTAAGGCTCCTTTGAAGAGAACCCTGGTGATGGTGGGCACGCAACACCAACTCCCTGAGGTGCCAAACACGTGTTGGAAAAACAAACGGGTGTTGGAGATATGGCCAAGGACCAGCTCCAGCACAGCCGGCTGTTGCCCGGGGGCAGTCCTGAGGGGCGTCCTTCCAGGTGAAGACCCACAAGCACAGGCTGTGGGTGGCTTTTGCTTTCACTTTGGGTGGTGAGGCCAGTCCCAGGAGACACAGGCGACGGCATGTCCGGCTTCTGCAAGGTGCTGGCTCTCAGGACCCCCAGGAGATCCATCGTCCACCTGGCCAGTTCCTGACAGGGACACCTACCCAGAAACCTCCAGGGTGATGGCAACTCATCTTCCCTCCGCCCCTCCCAGGCAGGGTGTGAGAGACATGGTTGTCCAGCCATTCCCAGCCTGAGCATAACATCGAATGCAGCGAAGGTCTCTGGAGGCTGAGCCCAGGAAGACCCTCCCTCCCTCAGCCTCGACTGCTTCCTGCCCTTGACCCCAGGATACCATGTCGCCTCCCATCTCACTTCCGTGGCTGGGAAGACCCGCCACGTAACGTGCTGGATGGCTGCAGCCTCTCGTGTCTCTGGTGTCTTAGCCCTGTTATCACACGTGTGTAGAGTAGCCGTGCTTGCTCTGAATCTTTCTAGAAGGAGACAAACACACCAGAAGGAGTGCGTTGGCCCCTCCGGCAATGCTTATGCTGTGGGCTCCTGGGTGCTGGATGCAGTAGGGAGGAAGAAGCTGCTTTCAGGCCAGGGACCCGTTGGGAGGTTCGTGCAGGGCCACCCACTCAGGAGTGGCCGGACCCAGGTGTCCAGGGCAGAGGCAGTGCCGTGGCTGGAGCCATTGGGAAACTTCAAGGCTGGGAAGAGATCAGCGTCCGGGGCCCAGTGCTGGGCCGAGGGTGAGGGCCAGTGGGCATGCCCGGGCTGGCACGGATGGCCTGATTTCCTCCTTTGTCAGGGCCAGAGGCTGGACCTCGATGCCACCCAGCTGCAGAGGCTGCTCAACCAGGAGATCCTGACAGGTACGACCACCCCAAGGCCCGCGCCCTCCCCTCCCCCTGCCCCCCCCCATCATTTCAGTCCTCCTGTCCTCACCCCTCAGGACCACCGGAGGACACGTTCTCCTTGGACGAATGCCGCAGCATCGTGGCTCTGATGGACGTATCCTTTGCGGTCCCCCAACCCCTGCCCTGAGCGCCCCCCATTCTATGGCATCCCCGGGGTCCATGAGGGCAGCAGGGAATGTTTTCTCACTGCCAGTGCTTCCTCTTCCTTGGCCCCGAGCTTCTGGGGGTTCTCTGCTAACTCACTCGCTGTGGCCACCCACAGCGACAGCGGCACTAGTCAGTATCTGCCTAGCACCGACGGTGTGCAAAAACTGTCCTGGGTGCATATGTGTTTTCTTGTAATTCTCGCAACAACCCCTGTGATACAAGAAATATTATTTCATCATATGATGAGAGAAGCAGGGATTCAGAGAAGTAAAGTAACTTGCCCAGATCACACAGCTAGCCAGCACCAGGGCCCGAATTGAGTCGTAATTCTCAGCCTCCAGAGTCCAGCCTTACCCTACTCTGCCTCCTTATGGCACCAAGAGCGCTATCCTCCCTTACTTCCCCACCACTGAAGGGGCCTCCGTTATTTAAGCATCTTACTCAACAAGCCTCAGTGCCACACAGAGAATCACCCCTGAAACACAGAAAAAGCCCCTTGGTCTACACAGCAGCGGGGCCCATTATTTATTCCATGCTGTGTATGCCGAGGAGGCGTGGGCGGGCAGAGGGCCTTCAGTGCCCCGCCCCATTCTGCGGCCATGAGTGGCTGGACTAGGGGTCAGCCCCAGGCCCCCAGCTCTCCTCCTGACGTCTTCTCTCCCGCGAACCTCTCTGCCAGTGGCTGGCAGGGCTGGCTTGTCCTTGACTCCTGGCCAGCTGAAGGTGGACGGGCGGCTGGACCAAGAGGAGTTCGCGCGACTGTGGACACGCCTCATCCACTGCCAGGTGACAAACACTCCCACCCTGCCCTCGTGGCAGAGTCTATGGGGTGGCCACACCCTACACTGGGGCTGGGGGCTCGAAGGGAGGGGGCCCTCACAGGGGAGAGCTCACGGGGAGACGGATGGGACTCGAGGATGCCCAGTCAGGTGGGGGTGAGGGCTGCTCCGGGGGACAGAGGAGAAGGAGGACCCGGGGACCACGGCTAAGGCAACTCCTGCCTCGTCCCGGCTCCCACCCACACCCCAGTCCACTGGCCCAGCTCACCTCCGCAATCCCCCGCCTAAGGACCTCTTGAGGGCACGAGGGTCCGGGCCCTGGGCTGCCTCTCCACGATTCTTGGGACAACATCCACACTGTTGGGCGGCATACGAGACCCCCACCCTGGGCTATTCCTCCCCAAGGAGGCCTTTTGCCCAGCCACCCTCTCAGTAGTCCCAGTGGCATGGCCCCCAAGTGCCTGTACACCACGTCCCAGCCTCTTGGCCTGCCCACTCCAACACTCCCAGCCTGGTCGGGGGGCTGAAGGAGTGGGGGTTCCAGCCCAAACACACCTTCCCTGCAGGACTTCCCTGGGGGCCTCCTGACACTGGAGCCCACACCTATCAGGGCAAGCCATGCCGTGTTGTCTCAGTGTCTTAAATGATACTAATGTAAATTATATGATTGTATAGATTATATATTATAAAACAATACAGTTTAAATAATACCAATTTAATTTTAATTTATTTTTATTTTTTTTGAGTCAGAGTCTTACTCTGCTTCCCAGGCTGGAGCTCAGTGGCACGCTCACAGCCACTGCAGCCTCGACCTGCTGGGCTCAGGCAATCCTTTGGCCTCAGCCTTCCAAGTAGCTGCAACTACAGGCATGCACCACCACGCTTGGCTAATTTTTTGACTTATTGTAGAGATGAGTCTCACCAGGTTGCCCAGGCTGGTTTCGAACCCCTAAGCTCAGGCAATCCTCTTTCCTCGGCCTTCCAAAGTGCTAGGATGACAGACTTGAGCCACTGCGCCTAGCCTAAATTATTTTAAATGACCTTTTTTTTGTTATGAAAGCAATACCTGTCATAGAAAAACAGAAAATACAGTTGGGTAAAATAAACTTAGAAAGGAAAACACGATTGTGCCAACCAAAGAAAAGGATGAACGCCCAGCCCGTGTGCTCAAGGCTTTGTCCTGTGATACATATACCCACACACTAAGTAGAGGTATAGTCTGTTTTTAACACCAAGAAAAACCCCATGGTATGAAACATCCAGCCATGTCACTAAACATCTCAACACTCTCCAAGGTTGACTGAGCGCCCGCGTGTGGCCACACCAGGACGTGCCACCTGGTCCCTGATGGGGTCACCTGGCTTGTCACCTCAGTGCCGGTCACACCCCTGGAAGGCGTTCCCCTGCCTGGGCCTCAGTTTCCCTGCCTGTGAAGTACAATGTTGATCAGGATTATAGGAAGAATTGGGTGCCAATAGGAAAATTTCTGGGTAGGTGCAAAAGTCTCCCTGTACAAAAGCGAGGTGTGCTGGGCATGGTGGCTCATGCCTGTAATCCCAGCACTTTGGGAGGCCAAAGCAGCAGGATTGTTTGAGGCCAGGAGTTCAAAACTAGCCTGGACAACATCGTGAGACCTCATCTCTACAATAAATTTTTTAAAATATCAGTTGGGTGCAGTGGCATACATCTGTAGTCCCAGCTACTCAGAGACTGATGCAGGATTGTTTGGGCCCTGGAGTTCAAGGCTGCAGTGAGCTATGATTGCCCCACTGCACTCCAGCCTGGGTGACAGTGCGGGACCCTGTCTCTAAAAAAAACCCAAGAGGTGACAGCTACTACCCTCTGCTCTGCACTTGGCTTCGATGTGGCTCTAACCAACCCTTAGTGTTTTCCTGCAGCTCTCCCTAAGGTGGGCACACGCCCCCAAGCACTCTGGAAACACTTGCTCTTTTACTCTCTGAATGAGCCTATGAGGTGGGTACTGCAATTAGCCCTGTGCCAAGAATGGGGAAACTGAAGCCTAGATAGACAAGCCATAAGCCCAAGGCCACGCAGCTGCTCAGCCAGCTAGCCAGTTTTCCTGGAAAGCCTGTGCTCGTGACCCTGCCCTCTGCAAGCTCTCCAGAGAGCCCACGCTCCCAAGAGCAGCCAATTGCCTGTGTCAAGGCCAGTCTCGGGGCAGAACAGGAAGGAGAACAGTGGGGAGGGGAGTCCCCAAGTCCTCGGCAGGTGGCCAGGAGGGCTGACTTCACCCAGTGTGGCCTCCTCGCCTTCTGGGCCTCAGCCCTGCTGCCTGCCCGCCTCCAAGCTGGTCCACCCACGTCTCAGCAAAGCGAGCTCCAGGGATGGAGAAGGACTTCCGGGCCCTCCCCTGGTCCAGATCACTCCTGGGTCCTCATGGGACTTCTTGCTTCTCTCCATCAGGGTGTTTTCCAGAAAGTCCAGAGGAGCCCCGGCGTCCTTCTGAGCTCGGACTTGCGGAAGGCTGTCGAGAATGCAGGTGCGGACCCTGGGAGCCGTGAGGAAGGGCCAGGTGGGCGTGTTGCCCACACTCCCAGCAGAGGACGGGAGGGCGGGTGGCCAGGAGGGGACCTGCAGCTCCCCCGGGGGCCATGTCCTGGCCTGAGTTCTCCCGTGCCTGCCCATCTTCCCCACTGCTTCCCCCACCCCCCAGCATGTCCCTAATTGTGAGAGCAGTCCCCACACCACTGATACCCCACCAGGAATCAGCCCGGGACTCAACACCTGTGGGCAACCGATGCCCTGGCCCCTGTCCTCAGAGAGCTGGGGGCCGAGTTAACTCAATGGTATCTGTCGGCTTCAAGTGGGCAAGGGTGCCCAGTCCTGGGATGCTGACAGCAGAACCTCAGGGGCTTAAGTGCCTTGTGGGCCACCAAGCACTTCCACGGTGACTCTTTGGACACCTCTACCACCTGGGAGGGACAGTGATCGCTGAAAAGTTCCGCAGGGAAATGGCGGTTTTCCTTAATAAAACATAAAATCACATCCCCACAGGCTGACACTGGAGGAAAGTCTCTGTGCTCCTCAAACCCTTGTGGCTCCTGGCCCTGGGGTGTGAGGGGGGAGAAAGACCAGGCTGCGGCCCCAGCTGCTGCATAGACCACCCTCTTTATTCTTCATAACACAGAGCTGGAGTTCTCAGACTTGCAGAGCTTGTTAAAACACAGATTTCCAGGCATAATGGCTCATGCCTACGGTCCCAGCGCTTTGGGAGACTGAGATGGGGGGATCGCCTGAGCCCAGGGGTTCAAGACTTGTCTGGACAACATAGAAAGACCCTGACTGTACAGAAATATAAAAAGTGAGCCAGGCTTCATGGCCTGTGTGCCTGTAGTTCCAGCTACTTGGGAGACTGAGGTGGGAGGCTCACTTGAGCCAAGCAACTGGGGGCTGCTGTGAGCTATGGTCGTGCCACTGCATTCCAGCCTGGAAACAGAGCTAGACCCTGTTTCCAGAAAAACAAAAATAAAGACCAAGTTGCAGATGGCTGAACCTCTGACTTGGGAGGTCAGGGAAAGGCTCAACCTGCTGGGCTCAGACAATCCTTCCACCTCAGCTTTCCAAGTAGCTGGAATTACAGGCATGTGCTATCATGCCCAGCTTGCTTTTTGATTTACTGTAGAGATGAGGTCTCACCAAGTTGCCCAGGCTGGTCTCAAACTCCCAGGCTCAGGCAATCCTCTTGCCTCGGCCTCCCAAAGTGCTGGGATGACAGACTGAGCCACCGCACCCGGCCAGGAGTTTGCAATTCTAACAAGCTCCCGGTGGTGCGGATGTCTATGGTCTGGGGACCACACTTCAAGAACCATTGAAGAGCCCCTGAAAGATGAACTCTTTAGAAGACCTCACTTACGACCCCTGAATAACAAGGGAGAGAAAAACAGAGAATGATTCACACTCAGTGCAGAAGCCCCCAGTGCCAGGCGGCAGGCGAGGGGACCTTCAGGCAGTGGGCGGCCTGAGAGCATGGGGAGCAGAAACACTGGCGTCTCCATCCCTCAATGGCCAGCTCTGCTGACCCACTAGCAGGCCTGACCGTCGCCAGGCTGCAGTTGGCCCTACGGGGTGGCACCTCCTGGAGCTGGTGACAGGCTCATCCCCTGCCCAACAGCCACCAGCCTCCTCCCGGGATGACAAGCGTGGGACTGACGCTCCCTCTCCCAGGGACCACACCTGCCCGCACAAGCAGCACTGGGACCCACCTGCAGATGGGTGCGGACAGGCTCTTCATCAGGGTCACCCGCAGAGAGGGGTCTGGCACTCAGGGCCAGGCGCAAACCCAGGTGTCCCAGCGGCAGCTGGGAATTATCAGATGACTGTGAAGGCTGGTGTGCCCCCAAAGAGCAATGTCTTGAGTGTGGGCTGGCTCTGGCCAGACATTCAGGATGGCGTCACCAGGGCCTGACAGCCAACAAGAAGGGGAAGACGCTGAAGGGAGGGCACTGAGTAGGGGCTGACGGAGGCCAGAGGGCCCTTGGAGAGGTCTCTCACACCTCCAGAGGCAGAGGAGTTCCCAGCCTCCTCCCTACCCCAGCCTCCTCCCCACCCCAGCCTCCTCCCCACCCCAGCCCCCTCCTCACCCCAGTCTCTTTCCCAGTCTCCTCCCAGTCCCAGCCTCCTTCTGGTCCCAGCCTCCTCCCCATCCCAGCCTCTTCCCTGCCCTAGCCTCCATCCTACCCCAACCTCCTCTCCACTCCAGCTTCCTCCCCACCCCAGCCTCTTCCTCGCCCCAGGCTCCTCTGCACTGGACCTCCCCCGCAGCTCACCACACTCACCTGTCGCCCCAGACTTCCTCTCAGGCATCCTGGTCAATGACGAGCTGCTGGACCGCATGGCCCTCCGTTACGGCGACGACGCGGGCAGGGTCAGCTTCCCCAGCCTGGCCTGCTTCCTGATGCGGCTCGAAGCCATGGCAAGTAGGTGTTGCCAGGGGACCTCCCAGAGGTCATGGCAGTGTCCAGTGGACAGAGGGGAGGACCAGAGCAGCTCCTGCCCCAGCCCCGGGCAAGGCCCCGGCGGTGGGGTGGGTGGTGGCCTGCAGGGGACACCCTTGCTCTGAGAGAGCATAGCCAGCAGGCTGCCTCGGTGTGGCCAGCTCCCTTCCATGCCCTCCCTGCTGGGATCCCCTTCCCCACCCTCCCTGCCCGGGTCCCCTTCCTCACCAGCTCCTCCCTCGGAGTAAGGTTGTGCTAGCTCCCCCGTGCCCTTGCCAAGTTGAACCCACTTGTAGACATGCCAGGGGCATCTGGTCTCTGCTGCAGGAATGTCCCATGCACACGACCGAGGGAGGGGGCCTCTCCCCAGGCTTCGAAGTCCTGCTGTGCAGGCCAGCGTTCCCCTCCCCCACATCTGAGCAACATGACTCTTTGTTTTTCATGAAACCCTGTGAGAAACCCCAGGCCCCACCGCCCCTGCTCTCTCCCCGCGCCAAGCCCAAAATGGAGCTGCCGTGGTTGCGTAGAGAAGGGGTCAGATGCCCCCGGCGAGCCCACACCACTGGCCGGGGCACCCGTGAGAACCCTACGGCTCTGGGCTGGGCAGAAAGGCCGAGTGGTGAGAGAAGCCTGGCACGAGCTTGGCCTCGGCATCCTCAGTGGGACCAGGAGGGCCTGCATGGTGTCCCAGAATGAGGACAAGCCCCGTTCCTCCCACGCCACGTGGAAGGGACTCCTGGTGCAAAGCTAGGCAGAGCCGGACACGTGAGCAGAGCTGTTGGGACCCCCGAGAGCCATCCTGAGGGGTCAGGCTGAGCTCTGAGAGGAGACGGGTGGCCACGAGGGCCACCTCCCGAGACTCGCTCTCAGCCCCTCCCAGGCCCGGCCCGCCTCCCCGCTCACCTGATGCCCCTTGGTCCATCTCAGTCTCTCCTTTCCACCCTAGAGGCCTTCCGGAACCTCACCAAGGATGGAAGAGGAATCTACCTGATGCAGATGGAGGTGAGGGGTGGCCCCTCTGGGGACCTCATTCCAGGGGACAGCTCTCCTCCTCACCCCCTCCCCTGGGACATCGAACCTCCTCAAAGGCCACCAAGCTGCTGCCTCCCCTCCCCCCCAGTTACCGCCTTATATATCGCTGGCTGCCAGGCTGCTTTAGGGTCTTGGCAGACAGACTTTATTTTTTTCCGATAGCTTAATAAAGCAGAGGATTATGTGGGAGTCATAAATCCAGGAGGGAGCGGAGGGACAGCCCCGAGCTCTCTGAACGTTAAACTCACTCCTGCCGGGTGTCAGATCCTCCCGGCCCGCCAGCTGGTGGGCCTCGGGTCTGCCCCCACCCCTGGCGGTTCAGGGAGCAGCAGAGGATGTGCCATGATGAGGGAGGGCTGGAGACCCCCGGCTTGGGCTGGAGACCCATGACTCTGGTGGAGAAACTCAGCTTGGGCTGGAGACTCCCAGCTAGGGCTGGAAACCCCCAACTCGGGTTAGAGATGCCCAGCTCTGGCAGGAGACCCCAACTCAGGATGGAGACCTCCGGCTTTGGCAGAGAGCCCCAACTTGGGCTGGAGATCCCCGGCATGAGCTGGAATTTTCCGGAACGGGGTGGTGGGGCTGAACCGAAATCATCCCAGGGAGGAGGAGCAGTGCGCCCTGCTCTGTATAAGCTCACGAGCTGGAAGAGTGGCTGGTAATGCTGCCGTTTCCTTCCAGTGGCTTAACTTGGTCATGTACAACTGAGACAGGAGGAAGCAGACCCCAAGGCTCAGGTAAGACATGGCGGCTCGGGAGCCCTTTCCTCCAGGGGGCATGGCTCTCCTTCTCCACCGGGAATGCAAGCCTGTCTCCCCAGGACTAAGGTGCCCTCATCCACGTGAACCGAAGCTCAGCAGCTCAGGGCCCTTGAGGCTTGAGGCCAGAGCTGCAGGTTCCACCCAGGCCATGTAGACCGTTGGACACTTATGGCAGCATGTGGCTTAAGGTCATGGGCGAGGGATCTGGAACTCTTCATTGACGTTCCAAAGAGAAAAGGTGACTCCTCGTCCCAGGAAAGGCGACAGAAATGGCGGGAAAGGGAGGTGTGGAGCAGGAGGAATGCTCAGGCCTTGCGGGGGAGCTGGGCCAGCCAGCCCTACCCCTGCCCTGCCTGGGCAGGCATCAGTGGGCACCAGTGTCCAGGGCTTCAGCACGAGTGCTAAGGAACTGATGCCACGCCGTGTCTTCCACATTCCTATTTGTGGAACAGACCTGAGAGTGCCCATAGCGGGCACTCCTCAAGCGTGTCTCGCCCTCTAGTCCCAGGTGACCACGACTCTGCCTTGTGAATCTGTAGATTTGACTGTTCTGGACATTTCAGGTCAATGGACTCATGCAATTTGTGGTCTTTAGTGACCAGCTTCTTTCACTTAGCACGGTGTTTCCAAGGGCCACCCATGATGTAGCAAGCTTCAATCTCTATTCCTTTTTAGTGCCGAATAATATGTTGCCGTGTCTGCATTGTATTGTATTCACCTATTCGTCAGCTGGCAGACGTTTAGGTGGTTTCTACTTTTTGACTATTGCTGATAATCCTGCTGTGAATGTTCGTGTACAGGTGTTGGGGTGGGCGTATGTTTTATCTCTCTGGGGTGTATACACCTGTGAGTGGAATTGCTGGATCATGTGGTGACTCTATGGGTGACGTTTTGAGGAACTGACAGACTGTTTTCCAAAGTAGCCGCACCACAGTATAACTTTCCCACCAGTTCACATTCCCCCAGCAATGAATGAGAGTTTCAGTTTCTCTACATCCTCGTCAGCACTTGTGATTGTCTGTCTTTTATACCGTAGCAATCCTAGAGAATGTGAAATGCTACCTCATGGTGGTTTGGATTTGCATTTTCATGACTAATGATTTTGAGCATCCTTTTTCAGAGCTTAGAGACCATTTGTATATCTTCTTTAGGGAAATATCTTTTCAAATTCTTTGTCCATTTTTAGGCTGAGTATCTTTTTACTACTGAGTTGTAAGTGTTATTTCTATCTTTTAGGTCCTCATGCCTTATCATATATGTGGTTTGCAAAGTTCTTCTCTGAATCTACAGGTTGTCTTTTCAGTGTTTTTATGATGTTATTTGGAGCACATGAGTCTTTAAGTTTAACAAAGTCCAACTTAACCTATTTTTTCTTTTGTCACTTAAGCTTTTGAGTGTGTGTCTAAGAAGTCATTGTCTAATCCAAAGTCACAAATATTTTCTCCTGTTTTTCTTCTAGAGGTTTTATAGTTTTGCTCTTACATGTAGGTCTTTGGTCCACTTTTAGGTAGTTGTGTATGGCGTGGAGTAGGTGTCTAACTTCATTCTTTCACATGTGGCTATCCAGTTGTCCCAGCACTACGTGTTGAAAAGACTATTCTTTCTCCAATTTTATTATCTTAGCACCCTTTTCAAAAATCAGTTTATCATAATGTCTAGTTTAAATCTAGACTTTCATCTCTATTTCATAGGTTTATATGTCCATTCTTTGCCAGTACCACACTGAGACAATTATATAGTTTTGTAATAAGTTTTAAAATCAAGAAATGAGTACTTCAGCGTCATTTTACTTTTTCAAGATTATTTTGACTATTCTGGGTTCCCTGCATTTACATATAAATTTTAAGATCAGGTTGTTAATTTCTGCCAAAAAGAGAGGACAACTGAGGTCCTGATAAGAATTGCCTTAAACCTAAAGATCAAATTGGGGAATATTCCCATCTTGACGATATAGGATCTTTTGATCTATGTGTCTCTCCATTTTTAAAAGATTTTCTTTCATTTATTTGAATGATGTTTTCTTGTTTTCGGTGCAGAAGTCTGACACTTTCTTTGTGAAATTTATTCCTAAGTATTGTATTCTTTTGCTGCTACTGTAAATGGAATTGTCTTCTTAATTTCATTTCCAGATTGTTCATTGCTAGTGTGTAGGAATAAAATGATTTTGGGGGGGAGGGGGAGTAAGAAAGCAGGATTTATTGAGAGAACAGAAAAGCTCCCACAGTGGGAGGGGACCCCAGGGGGTTGCCCAAAAATGATTTTTGTATATTGATCTTATATCTTGCAGTCTTACTGAACTTGCTTATTAGTTCTAATAGTTTTTTTTAAGAGAGTCTTTAGAATTTCATATATACAAAGCCATGTCACCTGCAAATAGAGATGGTTTTATTCTTTCCTTTCCAATCTGGATGCCTTTTATTTCTTTTTCTTTTTTAATTGTCCTGAACTTCCAGCACAATTCCCAATAGACGTGGAGAAAGCAGTCAGCCTGTGTTCCTGATCTTGGGAGAAACAACCAGTCTTTTACCATGAAGCAGGATGTCCACTGAGGGCTTTGCACAGATGCCATCTGTCGGGCAAGCAGTCCCCTTCTCTGTGTAGTTGGCTTTAATAACTTGCGTGACACCGGTGTCCCCTGCTAGACTGTACACCTAGGTGTGTCTTGTTTGTTTCTGTCTCTTCAGTACAAAGCAAGGTGCCTGGCATGGAGAAACCATTCAGTAACTATTTCTCAAATAACGGGATGAAATTGTTCTATTAGGTTGGTGTCTTCCTTGTGTTGTTCTCATCCCACTTTTGTAAATATCACCTTCCTGAGATTTTAGCTATTTCTCTATTTTCTTCCCCTTTGGGGAGAAGTCAGCATTCTCTCGTTATTACAGCTAACACATCTTGACCTATATTCCCTGATAAAGACCTGTTTTTCCTCACTTTTCTGAAATCGGCTTTCCTGTGCCTGGGTCACCTCTCAGCCCTGCCCAGCATCCCCCGATTTCACTCCACAAAGTCATAGCTCCTTCTTCCAGGGTTCCCATCACCCCCAAGTCAGCAGAGACTTCCACTGTCACCAGGATTCCATCCAGAGAAGAATCCCTTCTCCTCACTCATTTAATCCTCTGTGTGGCAAAGTGTCGCTCAAATAAGCAAAGGTTTTGCCCTGTGAGAAAAGAGAATTTCTTGCCAGAGACCAGGGTGATGGGAGTCCTATCAGCAGTCTGCTTTGCTCCCGGGTCACTCCCTACAAACTGTGTAGAGAGGCCTTGGGCCTGTCCTTGGACTCTGTTCTGCTCTGCTCTGACTTGGTGGATTAGGGTGTGAGGATGTATGACAGGCTGCAACCCTCCTCTTCCCCCTCTCCCATCAGATATTTTTCTTTTTAACAAACCATGTGCCTCATGGCCACATTGTAGGCAATACTTACGTGGAAATATGTTAAAACATCGGGTTCATACTTAAAAATGTGAATATTCAGTGCACTAGTCTGTGCACCTCGGATGTTTGAGGCCGTGTTGATCTTGATGGACTGAAGTGTGTAGGGGTGTCATACGTGGCAAATCACATCCCGCTGAGTGTTTGTCTAGCTAATGTCATCTGTGTCCATGCTGGTCTACTGACAATATGGCAGCAAAATGCCTTATTCTAACAAAACTTGTATTTATAACAATGACAGACAAATAAAGTGTCTTGAGGAAAGGGTCGCCTTCTTCTAGTCTGCAAGAAGGTGAGATATGGCAATGATGGCCCTGACCCTGCTGATGACCAGTGACAGTCTTCTCCAGAGCGGGTCCGTTTCAAGCCTGGCAAATCCATCTCTCCCATCCTATGCTTTTTGTCCAAAGAAATTTTTTTGAGCTACCTGGCTGGACTTTGGGTGGAAGACTAACACCCTGGGGCAGACGAGGCTGTCAGAAGTCTGAATCAAACTTTCTGGGGCAGGCTTTGTTGAGAGTTAGGGGTCTGTGTGTGCATCTGGCGGTGTGAAAATTCCCAGCGCCGCTGGGGGTTACCGGGGGCCTTACGATCCCCGGGCATCCAGCCTTCTGGAGCTGGAAGAACAATGTATCTGCTAGGAAGCTGATGTATACACGCCAAGGGCTTAAACCAGGGAGGAGGAAGAGTTGGAAGTCAGGCAAGAGAAGATCCAGCATGAGAGATAGGAACCAAATACAGTTTATCAGGATTCTTAATTATAGGAAAAATAGTGTTCAGAAAGTCTGCTGACGAGCTCTGGAAGAATGATTAGGATAATGACTTCGGCTAAGCAGACAAAAAAAAAAATGAGGTAATTAACAACTCCTGGAAGAACAAAGAGTCATAGAAGAAAGGAAATGGGAGCCAAGAGTATTTCTTCACTCAGAAGTGAACAGGACACAATAATGGCAATAAAATAAAAATTGAATATTGATTTGACAGAAATGAAACATAAATGCATGAGAAGGACGGGGGGGGGGAAGGTCCCCAACCTCGGCTTCCATCATGAGAAGTCAGCAGGCATTTAAAATGGACACATCAAGGGGTCACTGCATGCACGTGATAATTCGACATACAGATCACACAGAAGAAAGCCTGGGAGAGGGATTTCTCCCAGAAATGGGACAGGGGATGGCTGTTTCTCCTTTCTGCCTTGTGAATTTTTCAGTTATGTGCATTGGAGCAAACATTTATGAAAAAATAAAAATGCAAACCAGCAAACAGTCTGAGAGACAAGCGTCCAGGGCTCAGGAGTCTAGGACTCAAGCCCGAATGGGCCAGGGGGCCACAGGGAAGAAGGGTCAAGCTGCTCCCTCACTCCATGACTGGGACAGTGGGCTGATTTTTGTCGCAGAGAATCTCTCTGTGAACGTCACTTTCATCCCAGCCACTCCTCTGCAGAAGCCCACAGCCTGCAGCCTGCAGCCTGGAGCTCGCCTGGCAGAGGACAGAGTTGCCTTCGTGGCCTCAGCCCTT